GTGTTCAATCGTGACGCGATTCACAACGTCCGTTTCGAAGTAAACTGGAAACACATCAAAGAACGTCGCCAACGACTCATCCAGAAAAACAACACTGATAAGGACAACGCGACGCGTGTCCCTCATCAATACAATGTCAACCATACTGTGAGGTTTCAACAGTATCAGCACCGCAAGTACGGTCAGCCAAAGTACAAAGGTCCTTACCACATAGACCGAGTCAATAACAATGGCACTGTACGGCTCCGACATGCTACCGCCAATGGCGGCACAGTCTACCAGACTTGGAACATAAGGTATTTACACCCATACAAGGCCTGATCCCCTTGTAGGATTGCCATCGTGCGACGCACATGTCTACATCCAATCTCCGGAGAGTGCCCCGCACTTTAATTCATATGTTCTCCTTGTCCGACTGATGTCGTGCCTTCTGTGACCCTTGTCAGGGGGCGAATGCAATACACGGCTCTTAGCCTTATTCGCGACTCGATCCTAGATAGGGTTTGAGTCCGACTCATGACTGAGTCTTTCGTGAATAGTCATTGAGACAGGGTTCTCATGACCGCTAGTCATACTAGGTCGATGGTGAAATATCGCGCTAGATATTTAGCTGGCGTGGAGAGATTCCACGCTACTAGATAAATGCTAGACGAATCTTCCACGCGTTCCGTTTTTGGATCGTGGAGCGAGTAGGATTGCTACCGCAACCTACTCTATCACACTTTACAGTCTCCCGCGGGAGTTCAGACCTACGATCCTTTGATTGTGGATCTCTCTCGTTGATTAGTTTTCATAGCTTTCTAATCCTCTCATAACTTTCATTCTCTCAAACTCAAAACAGTCGAAAGATCTTTACACTAGCTTTTAGCGTAGTGCACAAGTCTGACGACGCCAAGTCCTACACCAAGAAGGAACTTTCGGTCCTTATGAAGAAAGTCTCCAATGCTGCGGTCAAGGCGGATCGCAAGAAGAAAAGCGAATGCAACCATGTTGCCAAACGCAAGTCGGACGACTCTGACAACGAGGATGACTCCTCTGTCGGGTCCCTCAACATGATGGACAAGAAAATGGCTGCAGTCGACAAGGCTCTTGCCGAGTTCGACTTCAATCATTCAGATGGAGAGATCTCCGTATGAGGATTAGGCCAAGATGATGATTCAACGGAACCATGTTCCGATTTCTCGTACCTAAGTGATGAAGATATCTCACTAACTAGTAAACAAGAATTGTTTGCAACTGATGAAGTCTACGGCAAATTAAATAATTGCCTAGAAACTGCTCAACTAGATTCTGACGATCTATCCAGCATTGTTAACCTCGTCCGTGGCCAACCACCTCGTCAACGTCGCAAGACAAGAGACCTCAAAACTATCGTCTATGTTAGATTCAACAGACGAGAAAAAGGGAAACAAAAAAACCGTTACACTCCGTTGCTTACTGGATACAGAAGCATCCGGAACCTTGATTACCCAAATTCATGCTAAGAGATTAAGCATGAAGGATCATGGGGGCGTCCAAACACTATGGACTACCCCTGCAAAGGAATTAAACCCCAGCACGAAGTGTAAGGGTGCACTTATGACTCCTGAGTTCCACAATGATAGAATTATCGAATGGAACTTGCACGCCACCAAGAACTTGGGGGCGTATGACATGATCATAGGTCGAGACAATCTCTTCGATCTAAGAATCAAGTTCAATGATCCTACAGCTGTCAGCGACAGTACAGATCGTCTCAAGAGGACTCTTGACGCGAAATACGAACAACCTGACTTAAGGAGGATATGCCAGAGTCAAAACCAGGTAAGTAAGGAAGAGCAGGAACCGCTTCATGCATTATTAACCAAGTGCTCCGACCAATTCGAAGGTACTTTAGGAAAGCGACAAATGGACGACTACGAAGTAGAACTTCGTCCTGACGCTAAACCCTATCACGCTAGGGCTTACCCTACTCCACGTGTCCATACCAACACTCTTAAGACAGAGGTCGAACGTCTCTGCGACGCAGGAGCACTTACGAAGGTAAACCATTCCGAGTGGATGACACGAACATTTATCATTCCCAAAAAGAATGGATCTGCACGGTTCATCTCTGACGTCCGGGAACTGAACACAAGGATTGAACACAAACCTTGTCCGATCCCAAGGATACAAGACATGCTACTGAATCTAGACGGATTCAGGAAATACGAATACCAACGAGTACCGATGGGCCTATGCAATAGTCCCGACATCTTCCAAAGGAAGATGGGAACACTCATGCACGACTTGGAAAATGTCCGTGCATACATTGATGATCAACTCATCCTAACTAACGGCGATCTAGTGGATCACGTTGACTAGTTAGATGAAGTTCTCCTAATCGAGAAGCCGGACTTAAGATCAATGCTACCAAGTCCTTCTTCGAAAGAAGAGAACTTGAGTATCTGAGCTACTGGATTACTTGAGAAGGAATCCAACCCGTAACCAAGAAAATAGATGCGATCCAGAACATCGCTCCTCCTACGAACAGGAAGAAACTTGGTAGATTCATTGGACTAGTGAACTACTATCGAGACATATGGATCAGACGATCACATGTACATACAACGTCGGGGATCCCAAGAAAAGGAATCCCTGTCCATTTCATTGCTTGACAATGATTGATCCCGTAACCGAATGGTTCGAGATGCCGAGATCTGCTCCAATGCAGCAGACGAAGTAGCCATCGTTCTAGAACAGACGTGGCTCACCCAGTATCCATGGCCTGCTGAGGTTATCATGGATAGCGAACGTGAGTTCCGCGCAGAAGTCGAGAAGACACTCCGGGATGAATATGGACTTCGTCGCAAGTTCATTACCACACGTGTTCAATCGTGACGCGATTCACAACGTCCGTTTCGAAGTAAACTGGAAACACATCAAAGAACGTCGCCAACGACTCATCCAGAAACACACTGATAAGGAAAACGCGACGCGTGTCCCTCATCAATACAATGTCAACGATACTGTGAGGTTTCAACAGTATCAGCACCGCAAGTACGGTCAGCCAAAGTACAAAGGTCCTTACAATATGGACCGAGTCAATAACAATGGCACTGTACGGCTCCGACATGCTACCGCCAATGGCGGCACAGTCTACCAGACTTGGAACATAAGGTATTCACACCCATACATGGCCTGATCCCCTTGTAGGATTGCCATCGTGCGACGCACATGTCTACATCCAATCTCCGGAGAGTGCCCCGCACTTTTCAAAATTCATATGTTCTCCTTGTCCGACTGATGTCGTGCCTTCTGTGACCCTTGTCAGGGGGCGAATGCAATACACGGCTCTTAGCCTTATTCGCGACTCGATCCAAGATAGGGTTTGAGTTCGACTCATGACGTAGTCCTTCGCGAATAGTCATTGAGACAGGGTTCTCATGACTGCTAGTCATACTAGGTTGTCGATGAAACATCGCTCTAGATATTTAGCCGGCGTGGAAAGCTTCCACGCTACTAGACAGCTACTAGCTGAAGTTTCCACGTGTTCCGGAAATGGACCATGGAGTACGTAGAGTTATTGCCATTACCTACGATATCACACTTCGAGGCCTCCCGCGGGAGACCAACTTCAATGAGCTTCACAACGATCTCTCTCATGGATTAGTTTTCGTAGCTTTCTAATCTCTCTTATAACTTTCATTCTCTCAAACTCAAAATACTCGAAAGATCTTTACACTAGCTTTTAGCGTAGTGCAAGAGACACTGATAAACATGATCGAAAATAGATGCCCATGGTGGGATGCGATTTTCTTTGGATGCAAAACTCGAAAGACTTTCTGTGACTGGAGAGTCGGCCATCTAGTTTAAAACTAAGCCTCACATTTTGAGGTCACATTTTGCCAAAAGGTCCCTTTTCATCGTGTTGTCACTTGGGGAATGCTTGTTCTCAATGGGAACATGGTAAAATGACCAAACAAATGTTACAGCCGCATGCAGAAAAGCAAGGGGCATGAGGCCGTAGCATTTTTTTTGTGTTTTACCATGGTCTCGTTGATCTATTCGGCTCCCCAACTACAATACCAGAGTTTTTCAATGCGTCGGTAGCTAGGCCATGAAACAACGAAAGCTGGCACGAGAGGAGCGTGACTCAAGGTCGAGCCCTCCCGCGGTCGATACGACTGTACGGTCTGAGATTTCAGGCTATTCCATGCAATTTACTGATTTTTAGTATTTGGACACCCTTTAGCATCCATCCCTTGATGTTAAGATATTGTTAAACCTGATTTTTTAGGAAATTTTTAGTCCCACATTTCATCCGACTTCACGGTCACAAAAAGTCATTGTGGTCACAGAGTGACGGTGGATGGAAGTCCAGACTCTGTGATGTTTCTTTTTTCTTCTTCTTCTGCGCCCACCATGCTACTCTCACGACAACCAGTATAATTTTTATAAAATTTGAAAGCAGCAGAGTTGCCACCATAAACACAGGCTTTTCCTGCTTCACATCCTCAGATCATCTCTTGTTTTGATGTTGAAAGGGCTACTGGAGGAATGCAGGAGGAACTCAACCAATATAGCACCTACACAACCAAGCTAAATATATAGAGTTATCTACATTCTTTGCTTGTCCCAGCCATGTGCTGGTTGTAGTGCTGACAGCCACGTAGAAGGCATTATCTTATGTCAAACTAGTGTAAAATGGTCAGAAATGGAAGCCCTACTTTGCCAGCCATTCGTTCCTCCCATGGCCACCAAATGGACAAGTGGCTATCACCACTGCGACGGGCACGTCCAAATGATGTATTCCCTATCTCAAAGCATTGTCAGGTTGACCCTATTGGTCAAACTGCTGGGGGTATCTCTGTCAGCATGAACTGATGTCAAAAGTGAGTTTCTTCAAAAAAATGGGTGATGCGGAGAGGCTTCCACCACTTATCTTTAGTGAATTACCCCATCCTCCAGATAATTATACTGGTTGTCAAAAATTATACTGGTTGTCACAAGAGTATACGCTGTAGCATGCACTCTCGCTGCTGTTGAGCATAATCCTCGCCTAAGGCAGAACACACACAAGAAACAAACACCATACGGTAGCATGCCAATGGAACTTCGCACCCGGGCGGGGTCCCTTTCCCCACCCCGAGAAATGCTCCTTCCAGTGTCCTGCAAAAATAAGGGAGGCAATCACAAGTCTCCTAGCAGTAGTAGTAGTGGGAGTAATAGTGCCATAATAATGGCATTTCTTTCCTCTCCCATCTTGACGAATGTCCTGTTGATGATCACGTCGGTTTCCGTCATGGTCCTGTTATTGTCTCGCCAGAATAATACTGTGGATTGTCATTGCAATAATAATAATTCGGACGTCAATGGCCAGAGCAGCAGTACTTTAGTATCCCCACAGAACACACTATTACCGTCGAACAACAATGCTCTTCAGCCATTGGATTGTTCCGTTGCACAGCAAAAACAACAACCAGTAGAAGATGACGAACAAGGCGAGACAGCTGGTCAATGGGTACAATCCACTTGGAATTCCTTTGCCATGAGCATTCACGATCCGACCCGTGATGCGTTCATTTCCAAAGAAATTCTGGAACACGGTTGTTTTGAATGTGCCATTTTGGATCCGGCCATGACGGCACTCCAAAAGGCCGGCAAAACAGCGGCATTGCTAGATTTGGGAGCCAACATTGGCTTGTATTCCTTGTCGGCGGCATCGTTGGGGCACGATGCCTATTGTTTTGAACCCGTTCAACGCAATTACGCCCGCATTTGTCAATCTGTTACGCACAATGCGCAGTTTGACAAACGAGTGCACGTCTTTAATCGCGCCGTGACCAATGTGGGAGCACCCACGATTGTGCGATTTGACGGAGAAACCGCCACGTCCAATTTGGGTGCCTTTACCATGCGCGAGGATGTTGTCACGACAGCAGTGGAGGGCCGGGAAGGCAAGGATTACGGACAAGCCGTGGCACTGGATGACATTGGCAGTTCTCTGAACGCATTGCAAAAAAGACCCGTAGTCCTCAAGGTGGATGTCGAAGGTTTCGAATGCACCGCCTTGGCGGGTGGCTTGCAATTTTTGTCCACGTTGGACATTACGTACGTTGCCATTGAATGGTCCTTGGCGCGCTTGAAACGGTGTACCAAACGACAAGAAATTTTTGATTTGTTTGTCAACCGCAACAAACTACTGCCCTACATGCACATTGCAAATGGCAAGTGGGACAAACTAGACCCGGCACAATGGGAACAATGGATCCAACGAGGACGACAACCCAAAGTGGGACTCTACGATATTGCATGGGCTCGTACCGATCCCACCAACCTGTCGCTGGGAGATGCCATGAAGAAGAAACAGAAGGTGTAGCAACAACCACCAGAAAGGGCTGAAAGCAAGCACTCTGCTACTAGCCAATAACAATGTATAATACTAGTAGTTACATCTTTGGTGGCATCGGTCCAAGGTTTCGTTTGCCGTGGACGTGCGTTTTTATGAGAATAAAGCACAGCAAGTCAAGAATCCCTGGCAAGGAACCATGCTTGGTCTTCAGGGCATTTGCTAGCTAGATCACACAGGGCAAATTTGCGATCTCTCCGTACTAGTATAGTGTTGTTTCCTGCCTTTGGTGGAGTGTGCTGTGGGGGCAAAAATGATCCGGTACCGCTGAAGCACAAAGATATTGGGGGAACTGAAAGGGGGAAGAGAGGGGGGCAAAAGGGGGGGAGAGAGGGGCGAAAACAGAAAACAAAGATATTGTGGGCAATGCGGGTTCCTGTTACCGTTGCTGCAGTATCTCAACAAGTCGTGGCGACCGCCTGATCAGTGCATTCAATACTGTCAGCATTCAGTTGTGGCCTCTTTTGTGGACACATGTAATAGAAATTGTGGCCATGACAGTCGCTACCGCTAGACATCTCGCTCGACGGAGCAGCACGAAGATCTTTCCTGAATATCTTCGATCTGTAGTCCATCCTCTCCGACGTGCTTCCACTTCTGGAAAACTCGATTCTTCTGCGAAGAAGTCAAGACGAATAGAGCTCAAGCATGTACCGTCTGTTCCGTTCCTTGGTAGCATGTTACCCCAGCTGTCGGGAATTCCGGACTCGCCGTTGCAACCGTTCACCTTTTGGCCCGCCGTGCGACAAAAGTTTGGAGATTTCTACACCATGGATTTCCTGGTCTGGGGAACCCCAGCTGTAGGTACAGCACGCTGCATGTTGTTACAGATCCTCGGGAAATGGTAACCATCATCAAGGCCGCAGGGAGCTACCCCAGTGGCCAGGTTGAGTCATTTTGGCCCATCCGAAAATGGTGAAACACGCAATATTGCGTCCAAAGGCATTTTGGACAGGGGACCGGAATGGAAACGAGTCCGTCAGTTTATGCAGAAGGACTTGCTCCAGGAATGATCCAGGTGGCACAGCTCGCAAGTGAAGGGGCCCCGGCCAGCGCTGAAGACTTGAATGCCTACGTTAAACGATGTGCCTTCGATATGTGTAAGTGCGGCCGGGCTTGAATGCATGAACGGGTCAAGGGCTCTTGCATTTTAAAAGGGCTGAACTTACTTCATCTATTTGCTTCGTCGGGTAGTCTGCTCCATCATGTTTGGCCAACTGACACAAGTGGCAGACCCTTCCACTCCCACAGAACCGGAGAACCAGCAGTTTGTCGCTGGTGCTTCGAGTGTTTTGTCCCTCAGCGTGGAAATACTGCTGGATCCCAAAGAGATTTTGATGAATTATCTTGGAATGGAGTCGGCCAAAAGTCAGAGAACTTTTGAAGCCTTTGATGTTTGCTGGGAGATTGCCCAAAAGAAGATTGCCTCCTTTGAGGCCAGAAAGATCGAAAACCAGCTGACGGATCTTGAGCAAAACTCCTATCTAGCACGGGCATTGGACCGCCAAAAGGAGCCCGACGGTGGCGTGAGTGTCAGAGAGGCTCATGAGGTGGTGTTTGCAGGTGAGTAAAGGAAATTGCATGCTAAGCAGATCACAAGCCCATCATTTCAAGCATGGCCTTTACACAACACGTTTCCCTCCAGTGGCCAGTTTCTTTCCTGCCGTCGACTCCACTTCCGCCGTTCTGGCGTTGAACATGTTTCACGTGGCAAGGGAACCACAAGTGCAGGAGAAGCTCTTCTTGGAACTGAAGAATTCTGTGGAGACGGCTGGTAGCAAAGATGGTGGCCTCACTGTCGAGGCCCTCTCGAGGCAGATTGTTCCCTACCTCCATGCAGTGATTCGGGAGACACAACGACTCTCGCCAACATCCGCTCTGTACCTTGTCAAGCAGATTGACACGGATGGCATTGTGGCTCATGGAACTCCGCTGAGCAAAGGCGACGTTGTGTCTCTGGAAGGCTTCTCGATTGGCATGGATCCGCAGTTCGTAGAAAACCCGGACGAGTTCCGTCCAGACCGGTGGTTGCCCGAGGCTGTAGCATCGCGCAAAGGAACGCCAAGTGAGATCATAGATCACCCCTTCTTGAAAGAGCCTTTCAGCCAGGGTAAGGAGCACGCGTGTAATAGCTAGCCAGGAACCGCTCGGCCGGCCTGAAACTCTAACACCAACCTTTCTTGATGCATCCAGGGGCGAGAAAATGCCCGGGGTCTCGGGTGGCCGCTAATGAAATTCAAGTCATGCTATCGCAGCTTGTCTTGGACTGGAAGATGACCTCCCCTATTGCTTCTTTCGACGAGACTACCTATTCTATGTGTTCTGCAGTAGAAGTGATCTTTCCTCAATTGACGTTTGAAGCCAGAGTCTAGCTAGTAGCTGTTTGAACGAGAGCCCACCCCCCGTCGTCATTTCGACACTCTTCGCGAACAGAATGGCTATGATACGTTTTCAATCGTATCTTTTCTCACAAGCCTTGGATAATCCGATTGCTAGCTAGCTGGACAACATAGACTTCACTGCCGACGCGGCGGCCTAACACATCCACACTGTCGCGTTTCCTCAGCCCCCGTTGGTTGCTGGAACATCGCAGAATTCACCTCCATACAGAGACTCATCGAAGCAGTCGCATTTTACTTTCTGGTCAAAGGGGTAACAGTAAGTTGGCCATCCCTCAACGCACTTATAGTAGCAGAAGTAATGTTCCGTGTTGTTGTTGCCGTACTGACACAGCCTTCCGAAAGTCCCTACAGTGGAATGCATGGGTTTAGACACACCAAGTTGCAAACTAACAAGCTGAGTCAATCAGACCTCACCTTCATTGCACTCATCGCACAAGCCAGACAAAGTATTGCAAGTTCCGTTATTGTAGCAACCCCCCATATCAATGCAATTAAGGGCTCTTTCACACCTGTGTCCATCAAAAAAGTCAGGACATCCGCAGGTGTTGCCAACACAAGAGGCACCATTGTGACATTGGTTAATCTCATCGCCCTGGGATAAGAAGAATACAAAATCATCAGCGAATCAAATGAAACGAGGCAGCTAGCAAATACTATAGCAAATCGATAAAAGTCTGTGCATCACGTACACAGAATGAGCAAAGCAACTGTGCACCAGTTGACTTGTCATCATCAGGGCTCCGAGATAAGACACCATTTTTGACTCCCTCTTCAGTTGCCAGTACCCATGTCAACCCGACAGGATCAAAAGTGTATGAGTCTTGGCCATAGTTAACTGGAGAGCTGAAAAGCAATGGGAAATAATTTGGCGAGGATGCAGTGAGGTTCTTGAGCATTTGGAATGGGCGGTTGTTGGAATCTTGTTCAATAAAATATGCATAGAAATCCCCTACTGTCCAGTTTGACCTAACTCCGATTTCAAAGCTTGTCTCTGGTAGGAGTAGGCAAGTTGAGTATGGCGACAAATCGGATCCTTATCACCAGTTTCTGGGCACTCACCTGGCACTCCATACAGAACAAAGCGTCTTCCTGTGAATACGATGAAGCTTGAGATCTGTGCCGTGTCGTCCCCGTGGCGCATATACGCAACAATGGGATTTCTTGGAGCATAAATGAACCGGTCATACAAAGTGATGTTCTCTGATATCGCGACGTATTCAGTACGTTCAAGAAAGTAGGAAGCTGATGGAATGGATGATAGGCCTGAAGCTGTTCTCATGTTGAGCGAGAAGCCACCACACGTGGTTCCATTGAACTCGCAATTTAGCCCATACCGCCCTTCCTTGCATTCACACTTGTTTGTTGTGTCTGAACATGTTCCATATTCAGGATTGCAGATGTCTTCATTGCAATCATTGCAGATTATTGCCAACCAATCTACCTTGACATCTCCCATTTCTGCTTCCGAGCCTTCCACCTCTCCTGTGTTGTAGAACCAATCCTGATCAGCCACTTCCATGATATCGAACGTGTCTGTATCGGCTGACTTGAAGATGTATTCACAACTGTTCCCACTTTCCACTAACGAAAATGTCCAGGCCTCTTCGGACTCGCAGTAAGCTAGCTGAAGTTGTCCTGTGGCTTCATCAATGTAAAAGTTTCTCGAGTCCTGTCGATCACCACCAACCAAGCCATTGCCCTGACTCTTGAATCTACCACTATAATGACCCCATTTGGGATCAAAGGCATCTCCAAACTGGACATACAAGTTGTCACAGACATACACACCCCCAGCTTGCCTTCCTACAAGGACGAAATATGGAACAAGAAGTGCGACCAACATGAAGAAAATAAGGCGTCGTTTGAGGAGAAGCACCTGTCGTCGGTATTCTTTGGTTGTTTCATGTTCCCATTCTTGGACTTTTTCACAGTCAGTCTTGATTCGTCCAGCAATCATACCAGTCAGACCGAGCTGAAAGGCTAGTAAGGGAGCCACAAAGAGAAAGATGAGTCCAACAAAGAAAAAATAGAAAAAATGACACGCTGCAACTCTTGTGGAAACGCACCTCCCTCATCAATCTCTTGGATAAAATACAATGCTGCACAAATGAAAAGCAGTGCATAGGAACGACGTACACCCCACGCAAACACACAGTGAGATTTCCATAATTCACATAGGGGAAGAGTTGGCAAGAAGACTATAGCGTACCAGTCAGATTGAGACTCAAATCAATGACAGTGGAGCTTTGCATGGCCAATATGAAGGAATCGATCAACAAAAAGGATCCCGATATCGTCTGCAGGACGGCAGTTACCAGCCAACGAGTCCAGGTAGCATTTGGGAACTTATCCTTGTACTTATCATCATATCCTTCAATAAGCTGTGAGATACCAATGACAAAGTCTCCTTCTGCTGCCATGACCATGACTGTCAGGATCATTCCAAGAAGCTGAGCAATCATGACTTGTGGCGTGGCTCCAGGCGGAATTCCAATTGTGTTGCGTCCGTTGTTTGTTTCGCCTTTTTAAAAATATGGAATCATGTCAGCATGGCTCGGAAAAGAGAGATAGAGAGAAGAAATATTCTGGGGCCACTCACCTCCAGGCTTGATCAGGTCCCAAAAAGTGAGACCCAGCATTCCTCCTTGTAGGAGGATGATTACGAGTGCATACACTGTTGTCACGCTGAAGAAATCAGCTGATTGTTACAGATTTTTGGAGAGAGAAAAGCAGAAAAATGAGAGTGAGCTTGGTATAGTCGGAACATAACGCCACAGCCTCATCCACTTAGGAGGGGTACCTACCTGTATATAGCAGCGAGTAAGCATCTTCTGTGAGCACTTGTTTCGTCTCAATCCCATCCTCCACAAATAATAGTCCTCTCTTTTCGGATGAACCATGTCCCTCCTCCTCATCTTTGAATTCTGATGGATCATCACTGTTTCTTCCCTCCATCGCAGTGCCGCTGTTCATAGTCTCTTCGGTGGGTGTCGCCAGAGGTTCCGAGACTGCTTTTTCGGCCTCTGTGGCAATGACCAATGAGTCTTCCTGAACTGGTACAGATTTTATCTCGTCAGCTGCAGGCGCTGCCACATCTTGAGAAAAGGTGCTGGAAGGGCTCACAGCCACTTGTGCGCCACTCGCGATCTTGGTACTTTTATCACTGCTTCCGCTTCCACCAAAGGAAAGCTGAGCAATGGTATCCTCTGCTGCTGATGTGGGGGTGGAAGGCTCCACAGAACCTTCGACATCCACTGGAACCGGAACAGGGGCTGAAGTCTCCTCGTCCATGGTGCTGGCCATACCTGATACTCTTTTGAAAAGAGGATGATGGGGTGGATGGCTCAGTCTTGTAGATGATCGGTTTGTCGGTTTGAGAGCAAAAGATCTGATTTACCTGGGCAGGTAAACTGCCTGAGTTCTCAACCCCTTTAATGCTATTTCCTATTTCCTATTCCGGTGAAGCCAAAGTATAAGGATAGAGATAGTCATAAGCCAACAAAACTGAACATTGATGGTTCAATACAAGTTAGGGGTAGGAATAAATCATTAATATTTAAGGTTAGTGCAATCATCACAACAGCACAAGAAGCCAGCAGGAGCTGTAAAGCTTAGAGTTACAATAAGGGAATGGCAGATGGTAAATTATAGAGTAGCGGGCGGCAACACACGACGTAGTCGGGTGTTGTCGCCAGGGCTAGCTTAATAAAAAGAAGGTTGCAATGAGGGAATGAATGATACCGGGCGGCAACACACGACGTAGTCGGGTGTTGTCGCCAGGGCTAGCTTAATAAAAAGAAGGTTGCAATGAGGGAATGAATGATACCGGGCGGCAACACACGACGTAGTCGGGTGTTGTCGCCAGGGCTAGCTTGAAAGATGGCGGGTGCAATCCGAACATAATCCTCCTTCTTCTATCTGTCGTTCTGCCGAGGTATCGCAGCTCCCGCTGACTTATTGTTGGTGTTTTGGCAGGTTTGTACCATGACTCTTACGAAGCCTTCTCCAGAGAACACGATGTCAAAGAAAGTGAAGCGATAGCGTCCTTTCAATTAAGCAAAGGCTGCATAAGACATAAAGGGGGCCTTCAGAGAGTTAGTGTGAGTCGAGTCACATTTGACTGCAGTACAACTGGTACTGAGTAGACTATTTAATAATAGTCTTCGGTCATATGGTCTTCCAATCGAATCGAAAAGTCTTCGAACTTCAATCGAATAATGTAAAAGTCCCCTGAAAACGACTTTGTGGTACCGATAGTTCGCATGCATGCATGCATCCACGCAGGGGTCGACGTCAACGTCGTCGACGTGCCATGGCAAAACAACCAGAGAGGTCATTCCCCCATAGCTACAAACAACAACAACAACTAAAGCTCCAGCTGCTTGCAGATAGACCACCATGAAAGAAGAAGAGGAAGCTGCCAATTTGAAGAGGGATGAATCTGTGCACACAGGACTGTCACTCGAGCACCCCGTCGACGACCCTGCCATCAGAGATGCTCTGATGAAAAGAGCCGAGGCAGAAGCAGCACAATGGCAAATGGATGAAGAAACTGCAAGAGCCTGCCACAACAAAGAAGCTGTCAACAAGACAGTCACCATGAAGAAGCCTTTCCCTCCTTCCTCGGATGTTCCCAGCAACAATGTGAGAGTGAATCAACAGCAGCAAAAAGAAAGTGAACCCAAACAGCAAGATGACCACGAAGAAATCATGAAAATTGTGGCTGATCAGGCTAGTTTGGTGACAGCACAAATTTTGAAGGAAGACCAAGATTTGAAGCAAGATCACAAAACTACTGGCAACAAAGCTCCGCTCAGCGACACTCAACAAAGCCACCAGCTGTCGTTTTCTCCAAAGGGACAGACAGACGCTTATATGAACGTCCTGCTGCAAATGGCGACTGACATCAATGAGGCTGCCAAAATGGAAAAATTTGAAACTGCAGTCAATACGTGTAATGATCGACACCGGCAAAGTACAGAACTTGCAGCAGCACTACCAGCAGCACTACCAGAACCTAACCCACTACAGAGGCAACAGCATCAGCCATCGAGACCTGGAGCCTACATGGGTGTACCGGGAGAGGCTATGCAACGTGCAACTACCCTACGGTTCTCGCTTGTTGGTGCCAGTGCCGCTGGTGAGGGTGAGCCATTAGTGCAGATAGGCGATCCAGGCGATTCCTCTGCACTGGCCGAATCACAGGATGCTGGAAAACCCAACAGCAGCAGCAGCACCACCAACAACAACAACAACATTCCATCAGCAAATGACCCACACTTGGACTTGGCAGTGGCAAATCTTGTTCTAGAAGATCCAGAGGAGGAACCAAATATGCCCTCTGCAGATCCTGTGGATCTACAGCATGTCCTGCAGAGAGAACAAAAGCGGAAGAAACAGAGACTGATGTTTATTCTTTTCTTTGCCATCTTGTTAATTGTGGCAGCAGTCATTGTGGGAGCTGTGGCAGGAACCCAAAAGAACGAGCCAGAAGAAGTGTACTCGCCATCAACAGATGCTCCGACAGTTTATGGCTCCATGGCTCCTTCTGAAGTGCCATCATCTGCCCCCACTGGGGTTCTAGAATTGCTATTCGATATTCTCCCTGACTACACTTTGGCCAGCATCAACAACGGCAGTGAGACTCCCCAGTGGAGAGCATGGCAATGGCTAGCCAATCACCAAAACATCACGAACTTGCCTGAATGGAGAAAGACCCAGCTCTTTGCTCTGGCAACATTCTTCTATGCCTTTGAGGGAGACAATTGGTACCATTTAGTAAAAGGCCATGGATGGATGGACGACACAGTCGAAGAGTGCGACTGGTTCTCCAGTGGGTTTGGATTTTTTGACTCCACTGATTCATTCTATGAATATATATCACCTGTACCTCCCTGCAACAGCCAAGGACAATTCACATCTCTGGATTTGCAAGAGCTGCAACTCTTGGGTCTTTCCCCGTACCTACCACCTGAAATTACGCTCCTGACTTCCTTGTCTTTTGTAGACTTTTGGAGCAATGACATTGCTGGACCAATTTCATCTCTGTTACCAACAGAGCTCTATGAGATGACTGGATTGACACATTTGAGTTTGAAGGGAAATCAGTTCACTGGCAAAATACCCTCTGAGATTTCACTTTTGACTTCTTTGACCCGACTTTACTTGGCAGATAATCAATTGTCCGGCTAAATTCCTTCCGAGATTGCACTATTGACTTCCTTGTCCTGGCTTGAATTGGAATGGAACGAATTGACCAATCAGATTCCTTCAGAGCTTGGGCTCATGGCCTCATTGGGAGGTCTTTGGCTTTCTGTGAATCAGTTGTCCGGTGTGATTTCTTCAGAGCTTGGGCTCCTGACCCCATTGGCATTTCTCGACCTTGCTTATAACTTGTTGAGTGGTCTACCACCTTCTGAGCTGGGGCTCCTGACCTCACTGAGGCAGCTTTTCCTATCCGACAATCAATTGACCAGCCCAATCACTTCGGAGCTTGGGCTCCTGACCTCGTTGGAGAGGCTTCTCATTGATCAAAATCAGATGAAAGGTCAAATTCCTTCTGAGTTTGGTGCATTTACTGCTTTGACTGGGCTGTTGTTGAATCACAACCAGTTCACTGGCCCGATTCCCATGAACCTTTTGCTCCTGACATCGTTGTTGGAGCTTCACCTTTATGATAACCAGCTCACCGGAACAATCCCGACTGAAATTGGCATGATGGCATCACTGACATCCCTGGCTCTTCAGAACAATATCTTGATGGGAACCCTACCTATCCAGCTGAATACATCTATGGGATTGAGGCTATATGGGAATCAGTTCTCAGGAACTGTGCCAGGACATCTTTGTTCCTTTCTATGGTGCGATTGTTCCCTAAGTGAAACGCCTCCTATTTCCACATGTTCTGACCTCAAAGAAGGTGCACCAGATTGGCCTGGATGATTTCCAGTCAGAGATGCTCATGTCATACTCAATATCCAAACTGATGATTTTCCAGAAGAAACATCATGGGTGTGGCAGAGGGAAACCAATGTGACTGGTATGTGGGACACATTGGAGTCAGGTGGTCCACTGGGCGTTTCAGAATATCTTTTCTCCTCTCTCTTCCCAGTGAACACTGACACAGCCTACAGACTGGTTGTTTCGGACAGTTGGGATGATGGTTTTCTTATCCCTGGATGGATCGCTCTGACCGCCACCAACCAAACAGTGTTGTATGCTTCGGTCGCTGGGGAGGCCTTTTCTGAACTCACCATTGACCTTTTGGTTGAGGCAGATGGATCTTTTGACATCACCAGTTGGATTACAGTTCTGTAATTCTATGTTACATATTTCTATAGGTAAACAGCAATGCAGCTAGCTAAACAACCGCACCGACACCTGTACTAGTAGTGACAGATGGACAGGTGGTTCGAGGACATGCCTGGATCCTTTAGGTTGGAGATAGTAAGGGGGGGTCTACTAGCTAGATGATATTTCAGTGACGGAGAAAGGGTAACCCTGCAACGTTGTCCTTTTTTGGTTTCCTCACACCTCCCGATGTTTTTTGCATGCAAGCCGTAACCCAATAGTAGTGTCCCCCCAAGACCTCGCCGATTGGAAGTTGCAAGCCAACACCCATGCATGCAACACCCGCCTCCACTCAACCACCTCATTGTTTGTTTCTTGTTTCCTTGCTAATATCAATAGCAGTTAGACTAGCTAGAATCACTCTGGCAATTATCGATCTCCATAAACCAATCCAAAAGTTTCTGGTTCTGACAAACCGATCTACTATTACTAGCTAGATGAGCACTGTCAAACCAAAACAAGGACGAGAGCCTTCCTCCTTGATCCAACTGATCCTTCGTGCCGATGAGGCACTGTCGACTCCCGTGTTCCAGCTTTCGCTGCCGTGGCTATTGGAATTTCTGTTTTCCATTCCAGGCAATTTGATGGGGCCTCCGTTGGTGCAGGTCACGTTGCCCTTTTGGTTCTTCTGGCTGTCTTCCGAAGAAACTACGGATTATCAAGACCTCTTTCTTGCCATCATTTCCTTCTCCTTCCTTTTACTGTTACCTTGGATTTTCTTTTTGAGAGGCAATATCTGGATCATCCAACACATTATTTACTCCAACAAATCCTTTGCCCTCGCACCCTTTCTTGGGACAGGCGTCGCCTTCTATTTTGGATCCGACCGTCGTTATTCCCAAGCATTGGCCTATCACTCCCTGATACTCTACAATCTGTCTTGCATTGCCACCATGTTTCTGAAGCATGGCACGGAACGAAAACGACCGTGTGTCACCTTTGGCCACTTGATCCCACGCAAACACTTGGCCATTATTCCGAAAATATTGGCCAAGGGAGCCGCCAACGCGTCCTTTCCGTCGGGGGATGTCATGGCCGCCACAGCCTGGGCCATTCCCCTCTGGCACATGGGGTATCCCACGAGCTCCATTCTCCTGGTGGTATTGGCGGCGTGTGGACGAATGTTCTTTTTGGCGCATCACTTATTGGATACCGTAGTGGGCATGACCGTCTGTCTACTGGTGCACGGTCTCCTACAGTGGTCTCCAGAACATGCAGCATTACCCACCATGGGCACGGCGGAATGGTATCATCCGATTGGTGCTCTGATTGCCTTGGCGGTGGCTTCCAGATTCCGCAAGGGGGACGAAAAATAATAGACGGAATGTAAAAGTACGGTATGAGTATCCTGCTGCACTGCATGCCTGTCTCTAGTTTGATGGGCTCATTTCAACAGCAGATACACAACCAATACACACCTTTGCCACCGACCATGCTTCGTGGATTTTGCGGAAGAGTAATTCCAAGGTCAGCTGACACTTGCCTCCTCCTCCGTGGAGGACTCTCACAAGTGGATTGATACTACCTTAGCTACTCGCTAGCTACGGCCCGAGTCTGTCAATTTGCCTGGACTGATAATCTGGTTTTCTTACGCTTGAGTTCAAGGCATTTTTGCATCTACCTCAAGCTAGATAGATAGATAGATAGATAGATAGATAGTAGATGCTTTCTCAATCATTATTTTGTCGTCCAGTTCAGCTTCAGAGCTATTCCCCTTTTGCAATAGGACAAAGGACAATGTATGTATATCTAGTTGCTTGGCTTGGCTTGCTTATTACTACTTACTTAATTACTTGGTGACAACATCTGTAATGTACCGTGTAATGGATTGCCGCAGCAACAAGAGAGCTTCTGCCTGGCTCAAGTTTCCGCCATTATCGTTTCCACCCACAATATTCCCCTGGACGGCCCCCCAGACCGCCGAGAAGGATTTGGAAGACCATTTCTTGAGCAACCCCTCTCGCCGTGTTGGATCGGATGATGATGACTTTGTATGAGGAGGCGTCACGGGTGTCAAGTGAGTGCCTCGCAATCGGGCAAACTTGAGATCCGTGGTTTCAGTTTCAGTTTCGTCGACCATTGTTGTAGCATTGGTGGTTGTACTACTAGTTTTTGGGCGGCTGCTCTTGTTTTTCGGACTCTTCATCAACAAAGTGGCCAGTTTGGCGGATTGATCCATGTCATCCTGATCAAATTGTACCAGCAATGTTTGCGGGACATGATAGTGGCATTCATTGTCGTCTTGTCCCAATCTCCTCCACAACTGTCGCGGGGTGGGTGAAAACTCGAGATTGTGCGCTTGTGGCGTCACCTGGGTCTTGATCCGATCGGCGCCTTCTTGTAGCACCTCTGTGAAGTCGGACCAGAGTTCGCCCCATTCGGGAATATCATCTTCGTCGTCGTAGTCATTGTCTCGTCGTCGTCGTCGATTCCGGCGTGGGCTGTTTCTGTCATAATTAATCATAGTCGTCATCCTCGTCATCATCATCCTGTAGTAGCTGTTGATCTTGGATCTTCTCCTCCTAGACGCGTCGTTTTGTTGTTGTTCCTGCAATTTCCGATTGAGCCGTTGTCGTTCCTTGGCAATTGATCCAATGCCTGGAATACCCGCCGATGCTCCAAAGTTGGTGAAACTCACGAGTATCATGGACTTGTAGCGCAATTCGGGCAACTTGCGACGACTATCTTCACCACCACCACGACGACTTGGCTTTGTGTTGTTATTGTTCATCATGGTGGCCAGTACGACCAAAATTCGAGCTCCCAAGGAATGTCCCAATCCAGCAACGGGTACCGATGCCAGCAATTCCTCTTCATATTCATCTTGCAAGACATGTCGGAACGCATATTGGAATTGATGGCGAAGACTCCGTGCCATGTCGACGTGATCCAACGGTGCAGCTGCGCGGTCGAGTGGCGTAATAACGGGCAGGGGTGTCACGACAATGGCACACTGTGTATGCAACACAATATCTTCCAACCATTGTCGATAAAAGTCTTTTGGGGAAGAACCAAATCCCGTGCCACCCACAAAATGGAGAATGGCCGATGGCAATGGATGCATCGTCGGAGGAGACGGGGGCAGCAAGACGAAAACTTTGGAGGAACGTCCATTACGGGGGGGAACTTGGAGTTCTTCCCATTCCACACGCGGTGGTTGGTAGTACTGGTTGGGGTCGTCCTCATACCCGTCATAGCCATCAACATCATTGTCGTCATCTTGGTAGAAATCGTCCAAATACGAATCAGCCGCTTCGTCTTCATACAACGATGGTGCGTAATCCTCGTCATCCAACTTTCTTGGTTGCCTTTTTTGGCGCTCCCACAACCGAGTCAAAGAGAGACCACGATGACATGTTGTGGGACGAAGAAACGACGGCCGATGGCTGCAGGTTGTTCTGCTGTTGCTGGAATCAGGACGATTGGGTGCCGAAAGCAAACACCAACCAGTCACCAGCGGCAAGCTCCAACCAAGCACATAATACAGAACCCACGCTACTAGACACGGACGACGACCCTGTCTTGGTGTCATCATCATCATCATCATGGCCTCTTGGCTTTGCTTTTACTTGCGAAGAAAATATGAAAGATTTGCGAGCTGTCAAACTGGATCCGTTGCTTCCACGTGGCGACGTTATGGGATAAAAAGGAAAGAGTTAAATCAAGGTTTCCAAAGACTTATTTTAAAATAGCAATGTCCATTGTGCACCTCGCAGGTTCGATGCGATGCTTCGTAGTTCGCCATCTATCTGCATGCGGCCACAATTGAGGAACTCAAGACAGCACCTCTATAATAACTATCCAGCTATCTACATGTAGCTATCTTAGATTATTTCGATAGCCATTGCGGCTTTCGAGATAGCTACCGGTAGATAGCTAGCTAGTTTGAGCCAAAATACGCTTTCCAGAGCCTTACGGTGGCTGGATTCGATTCGAAGCAGCATCTGTAGCTGTGCCTGTCACTTTGGGTTCGAGCTGTGAATCTAACTAACCAACTCGAATCCCCTTTAAAGTCCTCTGCACGGTGGGGCCAAGCAACAGCAACTCCATTGCCAATGCATCCTACAGTATACATTCATCCACGTGAAGCATATTATATTAGTATGTAAATTTGGTCAGAGTAGAGTCCCTTCTCTGCCACTGCCTGGAAAGAACTCAGCAAATCAATCACAAACACAAACACCACAACTGCAGTCCACCAAGTCACAATCAACCTGGATTCCTGTCGCCCCTTCCGTCAGCCAGGAGCCCAACTCACACAAAGCAGGGTCAATGCTGCCGGTAAGGCTATTGTTGCTGACGGACAAAGTGGTCAACTTTTGCAGCAGCCCCAACTCTTTGGGCACTGTGCCTGTAAAGAAATTGTCATGCAACAGCAACTCAGTCAGGTTCTCAAACCTTCCGATTTCACTTGGGATTTGACCCGAAAACTGGTTGTTTTGCAATCTCATGTACTCCAATGATTGCCAAGATCCAAACTCTGTAGCAAGTGTCCCCGTGAAGCTACTATTGAACAACCAAAGTCTCCACAAACCAGAGAGCAAGCCCAACTCTGATGGAAGAGAGCCAGAAAGGCCTGAATTGTGTAGAAACAATGAGCCCAATGGCAACTGTGTAATCTCTGTAGGGATTGTTCCTGTGAGTGACGTTCCGCCAAAATGGAGGGTTGTCAGTTTGGACAGCATCCCAAGCTCCGAAGGAATGGTGCCCACCATTTTTGGGTTATCATCAAAAGCCAACTCGTCCATGGACTCCATCATTCCCATTTCTGTGGGGATGCTCCCGGACAAGGTGCAGTTCCACAGCCCAAACCGTCGCATGGATGTCATGAGGCCAAGCTCTGTGGGCAGAGTACCTGTCAATGGGTTGCTCCATGCCCAAAAAAACTCCAGGTTTGACATCAAGCCCAGCTCCGAAGGGATCTGTCCAGTCAGGTTGCTACTGTCTATCAATAACTCTTTCAAAGTTGACAGCTGAGCAATCTCTGTTGGGATGGTGCCACCCAATTGAAAGTTGGCCAACGTCCAGATGTGCCTAATCGTGGGGAGCGTGCCAAGCTCTGTTGGAAGAGACCCAGATAGTTCGTTGCTGTCCAAGAATAGAGCCTCTAATTCTGTGAGCTTGGACAGACGGGATGGAATTGATCCTTGGATTTCATTTTTGAGGAGAGCCGCACTCTTGAGGGTCGAAAGCAGGGAGAGCTCATCTGGAAGGGTTCCTCCAAGCTGGTTTGTGCCCAACCAAAGATGTCGATAGTTACCACCTTCCTCCATTTGGTGAGGAGAAGTGCTGTTGAATGGTTCACCACTTTCCTCACACGGATCAAAATCTGGTTCTTGACTACCATTCGTACCAATCATGTCAACTGTATAGAAATGGACAAGTTTTGTATTTCTGCTCCACCAATCACATTCATGATGGTCATATGAGAGCCAATGATCCTCATTGTACCAGTAACTCTTGGTCCCCCCTCCTGTTGCATAGTAGAATGTAGCAAGGGCATAGCGCTGAAGGATGCGGTGATCAGTGTAATTGTCAAAGAGCGGATCCTCAATGATCCACTTGAATGCTCTCTTCTGTGGAGACTGCCCATAATGTAGTTCCGATACGGTAAAGTTAGGCAGTAGAGACATTACACGTTCCCCTGCTGTCATTGGGATTGGTGAGGAAGTCTCGTTTTTAGGAAAAGAGGTGGACTCATTGCTACGGTCGTTGCTATAGCCACCTTCATCACTGTCTTTACGGAGTACAAGAACCAGAACCACCACTAACACAGCGATTCCCACAAACCCAGCAGCCAGCAACAAAGTCAACGGCCATGCAACTGAGGAATGCCTCTTGTTCCTTTGCAATTCTTCAGGGGTCACTTCTTCTGCTTGATGAAGAGTCGGTCCACTTGCATCCATGACCACATTAGCCACCACTAGGCCCTCTGTTCCTCTCCGATGGTGATCAGTCTGTGCCTGTGATGAGTAATCTTCTTCAGTTTCAGTTTCGTTTTCTTGTTGATTGGCCTGAAGCGTTTCTTGTTGGTTGGCCTGAAGTGCACCACTACAACCTTGATAATAAGTCCCAGGTACGGAAACGGCACCAGGTTTAGCCAGAGCTCTTGCCAACACAGAATGCTGGAGTGATTCAACAGGAGGTAGGGGAGCTCTGGTACTCTCATCGTCGACAAGTGTGTCGCCACTGGTGCTGTTGACGTTGTTTGCTGGTACAGTTGTGCCAATTCCAAGGATATGCCTACCCACAAGTTCCTTTTCCTTTTCCTTTTCGACGATTTGCGCATAATCTTCACTTCGTGCGACCGAATTATCATCAGAGGTACATTGGGCCCCTATCCCAAGAGAGGATAGTATAGACATTCTGACATCCTTAAGAAGTGCTTCATCATTGTTTGTTTCCTTAGCTTCTATGCTTTCCTTTGAGGAACCACCATCAAAACCAAGTTCAGACAATACAGACTCCCTCGTCTCTTCCACGTTTTCTTCGTCGCCTGCTCCTTGTGGCAAGTTATTCCCTCCTGTGGTTGCCGCTGAGAAAGCCATCCCCAAGTCTGAGAGGACTGACTCACGGAGACCTTTCAAAGCCGCCTCTTCTTCATCATAGCAAACATCACGAGGCCGCTCCTGCTGTGAGAGCTGTGGAGTCTCTTCTCTGTTGGCCATTCTGTCCTTGCTTAGTTGGTTGGATCTATTGTTATTTGTGCTACGACTGTACTGGTACTAGCTATAGCTTAAACGATTGCATAATGAGGGTTTGGTTCTGGGTGAGGTTTGGGCTTGACTTTCTTGGAGATATCGTATCCTCCCTCTTTGGAAACCCCCTTTCGCTCGAGGAGTGATCCTTGAAGTTGGAAGTGGAGTGGAGTTCGCATCGTACCAACACAGATAACTGTATTAATGACCATTAAAAAGCTCAAAGCATGTTGGATGTTGGGGTGGATTCCTTGGTGAGCTACAGCGTTTGATTCTTTGAAAACAGCTGCAGGTGACATTACTTCTTACAATCTTACAATGTCCAGTAATCAAATTTTCTGTTGACATAAAGCCACGCAGTCTAGTAGTCTTGACAAATAAGTGTCGAAGCCCTTCTTTTCTTCGAGGTTACTGAGTAGAGAGTAGAGTAGTATGCCAGTATTTTTAAGTATGTCAGTACGTCGATGATGACGTTTATCTTTGTACTTCGAAGTTCGGTTACCGCAGACCGCAGCCAAGCTCAGCCATTAGTTACCAGCTTTCCTCTTCTCGGAAACCGCCACATGCCAGTTCATCACGGATGACGCTGTATTTTAATATTTGACTACTTCATAAGTCAGAATGTAAAGTTGACTATTATTGACTCGGAGTACTCCGGAATGGGCAGTTAGTTCCTTATTTTTTTGAGAGGTCACCGATTAATCGGAACTGGTTGTACGGGTGTGCATACGGAGTACCGGTACCGGTACAGTATAGTACCCGTACAAGCTCCGTACGTACATCACGGTAAGTACATTACCGGTTTTGCTCGGAATGATTGAAATGATGTAGACTATGTATTTTAAAAAATCTATGTGTCATAGCAGCGGCAAGGAATGAGCTACTATAATAGCATGTACAGTAGCTCACATTCCCAATCAAGCCAGTCAGTGTGGAGAAGCTCGATTCAAGACATGATGGAAGAGTTTTGGAGAAAGAGCCCAAGACCGTTCTCTGCCTGGACGTGCAAGTGCAAAAAACACAGTAGCAGAGTCTAGCTCTAGCCAGGGTCGAACAGAGAGACTTCTCCTCCACTAGCTATTGCGCTAGCTAGTGCAAGGCTGGAGGGATCCACAAGTAAGTGTGGTAGGCTACCCGGCAGTTTACGTTGGCTGGCAGGCAACTGGACTTCCCCGTTCCAATAAATACATGTAGTTCACCTACCCCACCGGTTATTCGCTCATGAGAAGGAAGCAAAGCAACCGCCCAATGTCAAAAGATTCACTGGCATTTGAAGGGTAGCTTATTATGCCACAGCAAGCAAGACCTGAACCCCGATGGCAGGCATATCATTTAAAAAAGCCCCAAGCCAACATGCACTCCACTGCTGCCTCCTTGGCACTTGCTACCGTATGCTCCTACCGTACGTACGTACGGTAGTGTGGAACTCGCAATGCCCCTTTCGTTAGGTTGCTCCCCACGCATTCATGAATTCTCCATCTCGAAAAATATCATTCAACAAGCGTTCCCACTGAATTTTATGGTTCCACCACTCGAGACGCCGTTTCGTTTCATTGTCTAGTGTTGTAGTATTGTCATCTTGCAGCACCGTACTTTTGATGTGATCAATTTCCTGCAAGACACGACGAATGGTGGGGAGTATTTGGTGGTAAGACGGTGCCACGACGACACCGCCACAGTGTTGATAGGCGTGCATGCCAATGGTATCCGCAAACGGTTCGACGACGATGCGACATGCACTTCCAGCCAATTCGACGAGCCGATGATATTCTCCGGCACTTTGATTGGAATAGGAATGCACAATCAGACATATTTTGGCGGTCGCGTAGGATTGTTTGATGAACGTCAAATTGGTGCTGTATTGAAATCTCCAATGATGTTGTTGTTGTTGTTTGGTCACACGATCCCACAATGCCTGGCGTCGTGGCTTTATCGCGCCAAAAAAGACAACGTCCAGAGGACGCTGCTGTAGTGGTATTATTACGCCATGATAATCACCCAGTAAGGATTGATGCATAATGGGCAAGAGCAGAACCGAGTCGGAGAGGTTGTGCTGTTGATGCCACGTCCAATGATAATCGGAAAACTCCCAAATGACACAACGTGGTTGTTCGTGACAGGCGCGTAGATAGGGGAGATAATCTTGACCCACTTGATGGAGTTGCTCGGATTGGAGAATGATGCGTGGCGCAGAACAGTTGGTAGTACTAGTTGTAGTATGACAGTCATTAGTCGTCTTGTCGTTAGCATTGTCATGTAGAGCATAATAGGATATTTCGACCACGATGGAGTTGCGGGTTGGTTTTTTCTTGCTTTTTCTTTCCAGCAAACCAAATCCTTCCAGCATGACTTTCATATTTTGTGCGACGTTGGAGAAAATGCCATGCTTGTGAATGGATATCCAGAAATGAGAGGACGATTGCAAGACTTGTAGCGTCTTTTCGTACGGCTTGGGGCCCGAGAAGCGAGCCATTTGCAAGGCAATCTCGTGGAGGGAACCGTTGGTTTCACAGTACCTGTCGTAGGAAGAACTTTGCATCAGAGTTGTCTCGTTGGTTGTTTGGTTGGTTGGAAATCGTAAGGAGGAAACTTCTTGAAGATTATTGTCGGATACAGATGATATCTTCGTTTCATTGGATATTTCAGGTATCTTCGTTTCATTCAAGTTGCTACCGGTAGCGTTGCTTTTCTTCTTCCATAGATCCCCAAGGTGTGTTCGAACCCTTCCCGATGATGGAAACAAAATCCCCAACTCCACAAGCATCCAGCCTAGAAGTAGTGGCAACACCAACAAGGCGATACTCTTGGAACTGTACATTCTTGCCTTGTCGCTTTCAATTGCAATCATGGATACCGGTAGACCCCTTTTATTATCTATCCAACATACTAGCTAGCTAGTAGGACTGGTACTGTACCGATCCTATCGACCTTGGCAACAGCTCCAGCCATGCGATTGGATCATGGAGGCGAAGATAAAAAAACAAAGGATGGTTGTCACCCACACCGTGGAAATAAATTCCACGCCGTGGATGGATGGATGGATGGCCGACCAACAGAATGCACGCCACTACCTTCAATGCCAACTGAAACCTTGAAAAGCTCAGCATGAGCAAGCAATACTACAGCAACAACGACAAGAAGGACAACAAGCAGCAGCTCCAAATACGTAGATGACATGCCAATGCGTGTCCGAGGTGCTGTGTGGTTCACCTACATGTACTGTGGGAATAATCGAATCGAATCGAATCGAAGTTGCTGTTGCTCTCTTTGCTCCTGATGCCTTTTGATGATGGAGGAGTGGTCCATAAAAGGCAAGCAACGGCGTAAATTCCAAGACTACAAACAGGCACACTACCATCTACCAGAGACAACCAACTGGGTGAGGTACGGTACTAGCTATCGTAGCTCTTTGGCAGGCCAGCCAGAACCTCCAAAGTTGTCAGCACTGCATCCAGGATTGCTTTGACTGCCTGTTTGGATCCTGAATAAAAACCAATCGACCCATTTCGTCTGAAATGGGAGTGATGGTCTCATCGACCAAGTTGAAAGTGTCTCGGAAAAGCAAGTTTGATTGGAAGAATGGCACGGTAGGTACGCCATGGTAACGGTGGGTAAATGAATGCATGCCCTCCGTTTAGTACAGCCACTGTACACCAGGCATGGTTTGGAATGCACGCTAACGGTAGCTCATTAGCCATTCTTGACAAGCGGTAGATTATCCTTCTAAAGTTAGAAAGCTATCCTTTTTATTAATCTGCAGTATTGTTACTTTCAGTGCTCTCGCCACCAATGCCTTTCAATATGGCATGCCACAGTTCTGTTCTTTTCTTTTTCCCGCCGCATTTTGTTTGGTTGTGTTCCGTCTCAGATCATTGTCCATGCATGGATTGGCTCTAATGCCTCGTTTGGTAAAGTCACGTCAACGTACGCAGAATCGCCACTTGAGAGCTCTGCGCACGACGATGGCGCAAGACTCTTTTATAACTGCGCTGAACGACTGAATTCACTCTCTCGTTCCATTTTTACTACTGTTTTGTTTGTTGCGTGGCAAATTTTCCAAAGGCTCCTCGTCCCATGAGTTCCAAGTCGACTGCTTCCCCTCCTTGACTGCGTCGATAGGTGGTTCGTCCGACCAAATCTTCTGGAGACCGTGTCGCTGCAATCCCATCCATATCGAGCCGGGCACTGACAATCAAGTCATCTCGTAACCACCACGGATCGTTGTCGGAAGTCTTTGTTTCGTCGTTTGTTAGTGGTTGTCCTTCGGGGGTATAATCTTTATCGGTCAAATGAAAGGAAAAGGGAAATGTGGGGGCTTCAAATCGTGCCGACAAGACGGGTGGAGGTTTGCCGCGTGTTCCTTGCAATATAGCTTGTGGTACATTGTCGGGTCGATCGGGACGGACCGTCACGTAGAGAGCCGGAATGGGTGTCATGGTCTTGCCGGTGGGATCCACCACTTGGGTCTTTTGTTGGGCCAGTTCAAAATCAAAATTAGCGGGAATGCTGACGGTCCCCGCGACAAAGGACGGAATCGAGTCGGCCGTGGGGACCTTCGGTGGTTGACTGGGATCCGTCACGTACGCTGCAAACGCCCGATGACGAGCAAATTGGGGTTCCAATATCCAACCACACAGACCTCCCAGGACGGCCGATTGCGTGGTGTGTAACATGTCGCGGCGACTGGTCGTCGTAGAGTCAGTGCTGTCGCAAGTACTAAAGAGGCGAGAGTGCCGGGAACTGCCAACTTCATGAATGGTGGTGAATCCATGGACTGGTCGAGTAGTGCTTATTGCCAATGAAGCAACCGCCGTCCATCGTACAAGGCTGGCACAGCAATAAGGAGAGCTCATGGTTTTCATCTTCTGTTGTTCTAATAAAGATCAAACAAATGACAAGAAGCAGGATTATGTATGAGTAGAATGGTCTTGGTTATTATGGTTGTCGACATCAGATCTACCTGGGATCGATTATTGATGTCATTTGTTCTATTCGTTCTCTGACAAAGGGGTTGAGTCAGCTGCAGGATGGACCTGATGATGTTCGGGAAAGATCAGAGGGTTCGCTTTCGATTGGATCTTTTGGGTTTGACACCACCAAGAGAAAAAGAATGCTTTTATGACGTCAGTCATGTGTCCGCCCCGAGGAATATGTAAGACGAGGAAACGTAATTACCAGTGCCAGGGCCCAACCAACCCGTTGGCAAAGAGGGAAGTTATCTATGGAAGCTGGGAGGATGCCAGGCTTGGGCAAAGAAGAGGTGGAATTTGAGACTTGGTTCTGTGGGATCAGGGTCAATAAATTGAGGACCAACTCTGGGGCCAAGGCAAAGGGCTCGGCTTTGCGGGATGCGCCCACAAAGACATAAATGGATGACTGCATGTAACAAGGGCAACGGAGAGTCGTTTCTGGAGGGAAAACATCATTTGGGAGTAAGAATATTGAGGTTTTGTTTGTGTTGACATTTGTAAGGTGTTGTAGGAGAACCATCGACTTTTAAAGTTCAGCATTGCTTTAATACTTAGAGTGGGGAGGTTGTCTATGGAACTTCAATTCATTTCATTTTCTAACTACATGTATTTATGTGAGTTCTGTAGAGGAGGTAAGTCTAAACTTTGCTGCAAATACCAGTTGATGCCTCGCAGCATTCCGTGCAGCAGAGGCAAGGCATGGCTGCAATCCCCGTGTCCCTTTCGGGCTCACAGTCCGCTGCAAGGCGGGTTCCAGTTGCTGGGAGCACATTGGAACAAAGGGCTGATGGAAACGAGCCGGATAGCTGGTTGCCATTTACTGAGAACTGGTACAGGCCGGTTAAAGCGGTCACTTCCTCTGGAATGGTTCCTGAGAAGTTGTTGTTTGCTAGCAACAGCACATTCAATTTAGTGAGATGCCCGACACTGGTGCTAATGGTTCCAGAGAGATTGCAATCTCCAAAATCCAAACCAGCAAGGTAGCTGGACCCGGTGAAAAGCTCTTCTGGAATCGTGCCACTGATGAAACTGTTCTGAATGTTTAGTTCCCTGAGCAATTTTAACAATCCCAGCTCGGAGGGCAAAGGTCCGTCCAAGGAACTATGACCAATCATGAGATACTGCATATTCACAAGATTCCCAACTGCTTCCGAAAGTGTACCCGTGAACTGATTCGATTCCAAGAACATCCACTCCATCTTCGAAAGGCCAAACAGCTGATTGGGCAAGAGACCTGACAACCGATTGAATCCTAGAACCAACTGAACGAGATTAGATGCAAGCCCAACCTCTGTCGGCAGCGTCCCGGTCAACGTATTGTTTCCAAGATTCAGATTTTCGAGACCAGGATTATTGAAGATTTCGGCCGGAATCGTCCCAACAAACTGATTAGCTCCTAGATCCAGCTCGGCTAGCATGAGACTGGAAGGAATAGTCCCCGTCAGCTCGTTATGGGAGAAATCTAGCTTGGTCAGCTTTGGAAGCACGCCCAGCTCAGCTGGTAGTTGACTGTTCATTTCGTTGGCAGTCAAATGGATCCCAGTAACAACCCCAGATTCGCAGATTACGCCACCCCACTGACACTCAGGAGAGCCAGAGAGCCATCGAATTCCCCATACATCGTGGTTGACATAAAGCGAAAATTGACAGGTGTCGTCCTGTGCACCTTGTGGTGGGTTGCAGGAATACCAGGGCTTTCTCGCTGTTGTCTGATAGTATAGAAGGGCCAAGATGAACCGTTGCAACAAGTTGTCTGCATCAGGTTCCAATTTCTGTGGATCTGCATTTATTATCCAATCAAGGGCCTTCTCGTAGGCCGAATTCTCGTCATCCAAGCCAAAACGAACAGAACGCAAACCAGCTGTTATTTGTAGCTCAAAGTCTTGCCTCAAGGCTTCTCTGCCAGTGGCAGATTCCATTGCTTCACTGCCACCACCAGTTCCACAGTGACCAGTCCCGCAAATGGATCCAATGGTGACGACCAGCACGAAAATAATGACACCAGCGGCAACATAGAAAATTGGGAAGTTTTTATTTGGTTGAAATGCTGGTTTGTCGTCTGGAGAAACAATGTGCTGTGGTATCTCTGGTTCCTCAGCCTCCATGACAGGTGCGACAACCGCCAATTCCTTCGTCGACATATGGTCCGATTTTTCGCCGCGGTCTGTTATCTCGGTTGACTCCATTGAACCCGGTACAGTTGTTGGCAACATGATAACACAGGGCCACTTAGATAGTTGGGATTACTCCTTGGTTTGGGCAAGTGGTGTCAATACTGTAATGCAGCTAGGGCTGCCTCAATCCTCGACACAGATTGCAAGTTTTTCATTCAGTGTCAATGGCTAGCTACTGATGTGCTGGGTTTCAATACAACGAGAAGCTACTACCGGTACAGTAGGACTGCTGGAGCTCCGCTCTCTGCTGGTTGTGGCGTGATGGAGGCATGGAGGCGGCGATGGGGCGTCTGATGGCTTAGAGTTGACTGTGGATGTGAATGGATGCTAGTAGTGGACGAGTGCAAGCAGGGCGTGGACTCTTAGTTAACTTCAGTGGCGAACTGGAACGAGAGCGAGCATGGTGCATGGCTCCTTTATGTCCTGCGGTATTCTAATTCTGCACGGTATTCCTGACTGTCACTCCAGTGTCACGAGTACAGTCAGTTCTTGACTATATTTATATGGGGGTAATACGGATTCCTATAAATATACTAGAGAACATAAATATAGGCTCTATTTACTAGTAAAGTACGCGTGGAGAGTGCCGTCACGTTTTTGGTTGGCAGCCTTTGCTCCCCTAGCCATATTCAATGCCCTTGCAAACCTGTCAAGATGAACGGTGGCAGCCGGGTTCACACCCAAACTGGAGGCACTGAGTGAGAGCTTGTTGAGTGCCTCTTCGGCTTCTGCAATGGAGGCAAACAGATCGTCTGGTTGGGGATCTTCATCCGTCGGTTCTGGCTCGTCGTCATCAAGCACAGCCAGTTCTGCTTCAGTTGTTGTCCTCTCTAGCTCTTCAATCTCATCGTCAACGGTTGCACTGATGACCTCAGGCTGGTCTTCAATATCAACCCAGTTCTCCGCCATTGTCAGCACATCTTCCGCAGAGTACTTGTCATGATCAGCCGCAAAGGATCCTTGCAACGCAATCGCATGCCTTGCAACATCCACCTGTGTTTCTTTTGCTTTGACCTGGAGAGAACTCATGAGGTTACACAAGTCATCCGAATCCTGCTTGCTCATTACCTTATCCTTCAATGGGATCGACCTTGATCCAAGGTCGGCATGGATGTCTGTTTCCATGTCAATTGGAAGGATACCTGCCTTCCTCCAGCAGCGTCTAATGCCATCCTCTCTTGCATATCGGCCATCTTTATTCCAAATGCGATTCAAGATGTTCATGGCATCAAGCACATGCGCCTTGCCTCCAACGGCCAAGCCACGGCATCCTTTCCTAGTTTTGAGTCGCTGCTTCGCACAGGCTTCGTAGCCTCCTTCAACGTCAAAGAGATCAAGCAAAGTAGAGAGCATGATACATTTGTAGCCCACTTTAAGGGCTGCAATCATTCCCATATCAGCTGGTTGAAATGTGTTGGTCATGTTGGGTGGAAGGAACAAGATGTGGACCCAAGAAGGTACGACATCCCAGTTGTCCAGCTTGTGAGCACTGCAGTTGTCCAACAGAAGGATACAATCTGTATGGCCCCACAGTTTCACATGGTGAGGAATGAACACAGTTTGCAGCCACCACAATGTCACCTCCTTTGTGAACCACGCATTGCTTTGGTTGGTGTAGGCCATTGGTGGTTTGCCATTCTCACACAACCCGAAACATATTGGCGCTTTGGCTTTGCCAACCAGGGAGAGTGGGACCTTCTTTCCATCTGCGGAAGTGCACACCATCAATGTGATTCTCGTCTTGTCTTTCATTTGCTTCGCCCCTGCAAAGTCTTTAGCGTTGTCCTTTTTAACGTAGATGCGGTTGGGGATTTTCTGGTAGTAGAGACCAGTTTGGTCTGCATTGTAGATGCGACTAGGCGAGACAGTGTATTTCTCTATGAGAGGATGGAATTTGGTCTGCCTCCACTCGTTCATAATTGCCTGCTTCGTAGCTTCGTCAATATCACCAGCCTCTCCATGCAGATTGATTCCAACTCTACCATTGCGTTCGAGGACATTCGAAATCCAACCATTAGAGGCGGTGAATTCTTCTTCCGGTATGCCTAGCTGCTTGGCATAGCCGAGTGCCTTCGCTCTCATCGTGATGTATGACAGACCACAATGGTCCTTCTGAGATTGCTGTTCCCGCAGATCCAAATAGGCAACGAGTTTCTTCTCCACCTCCGGAAACTTTGGCGGTACAGTTCGCTTGGAGCTGTCGGTGACAGCCAAGGTCTTGTTGTCGTATTGCTTTAGGTACTGACTGAAGCTTTGCCGTTCCGACTGTGTCCCAGAGAACTTTGGACCAGATGCAGACGATTCCAAGAAAGCCTTGGCTGACATTGAACTGAAGTCTGTACGAAAGGAGTGGCATGCCTTAGCCCAGTCGCCTCTCATCTTTTTGCTGGTTTCGTTCTTTGAACCTGCTTTCGGTCCTCTCTTCGCTCCTTTCTTCGTTGCGGTTGAATCGGCACCGTTCATGTTGGTCTACATGTAGGTCGGATTGGAAGGATTGGTATGGTTTGCTTGAAATTGTTTTGTTGCTCAGAGAATTGTTTTTGCCATTCTGCGCAAATCTCGCGAAAACACCATGAAAAACCACTGGTACGAAGATTTGCGCAGATTGGCAGAGAATCGACAGGCAAGCGGAGGTGCGGCACTCTATCGACATGCATTGGCATGTATGCATACACGTATGTCGATCGATTTGGAGTGTTTGGAATGGATTGCGAGCCATTGTTTTGCTGCTACGAGATTTGCGAAGGGTACGTACATGTACATGCACTGACGTCAGTCACGGTCACTCGTGACTCAGGGGGGAACATCGAAATGCCATAAATATACTGGAGAATATAAATATACGTTTATAAATATAGTCGCGAACACACTGTATCATACATACATACATGTACAAGAGGTTAGAATCGAATCGAATCGAATGATCAATCTGATGTTTCAAGTGACCACGCCGTGGAATACTCGTAGCGAGGAAACGTACAAATTGGATCGAACTGATCAGCCAGCTCTAGCTTACTGAGCAACAATAGAGGGCTGGAGCCTGGGTCTTTGGTTCTTTGGTTCTTTGGTTTGGGCGTTTGGGCGTTTGGGCAAGTGCATGTACAGGAGTGACATGAAGAGTACCCACTCGAAGAGGAGATACAGATAAATGTGTCCGAAGCGATTGAACGACGCGCCGACAACCACAACAGATGCTACCACGTGCTGACTGCATTGGCAGTAGAAGGAGGAATCGAATCACCTTGTTTTAGATGAGCCGCCAACAAAAAGAGACAAGTACAATGCTTCCGACCACAATCAAGATTTCTAGCATTAGCATCAGTCTAGGAGGAGCCACCTCTGAAAAAGTCGAAGACCGAGTCGATTGCACGACGACGACGCGACTGAGCTACGAGTACCAAAGGGGTGGAAGGTCGCGAAGGTCGCGAAGCCATAAGGAAACGAAAGCTGGAAACAGCGCGTTTTGCGAGTTTATTTCAACAATCAACAACTCCGCAGTAGCGCTCCTGAGGAGGAGGCCACACGACAATTCGCACGCACAGAAGAGAGTGGATCCTCCTATTGGATTCGTTCCTCCTTGTTATTTCCTAGTGTTTGGTTGGTGATTCCTGTGGAGGGACACATTTTCCAGTATGCACAAGTCCTCGGCGGCTCATTGGTCTTTCGTGTGGTACGAAAAGAGAACATCACCTACCACATTACCACATCATCCCAGTGCAGCATGGGACCAGTAGTCGTCTATATCTTCCAGGAACAGTAGGATTTCAACTGTGCTGTAGGGGAGGAATGAGAGATGGGGTCTTACTGTACCGGTGTGGCAAGGAGTCAATTTGTGATATTCGTTCAGATGTTGGATCAGTTGTTGAGGAGAAAAAATAGTAAGTAGATACGTTAAGGAGTGGGGTGTTGACTGTTTAGTAGATAGAGGGGGGTTTAGAGTAGGAGGATTATCTACAGAAGCCAGCTGGGGCCAGGCTTATGCAAAGAAGAGTCGAAATTCAGGACTAGGTTCCGTGGGATCAGGGGCAAGAATTTGAGGACCAACACGGGGGCCAAAGGGCTTTGGCTTCGCAGGATTCAGCACAGCCTGCTTTAGAGTCATGTTTGAAAGATAAACATCATTTGGAAGTATGAATATTGAGTTTTGTTTGTGTTAACAGTAGCACGGTACTTCGTTAAAGTTTAGCATCGCTTAAATAACAAGGGCGTTTAGAGTGGGGAGGTTGTCTATGGAACTTCAATTCATTTCATTCTCTAACTACATGTATTTATGTGAGTTCTGTAGTGGAGGTAAGTCTAGACTTCGCTGCAAATACCAGTTGATGCCTCACAGCATTCTGTGCAGCACAAACAAGGCATGGCTGCAATCCCCGTGTCCTTTTCAGGCCCACAGTCTGCTGCAAGGTGTGTTCCAGTTGCTGGAAATAAATTAGAACAAAGCGCTGACGGAAACGAGCCGGATAGCTGGTTCCCATTTACTGAGAACTGGTACAGCCAGGTGGAAGCAGTCATTTCCTCGGGAATGGTTCCTGACAAGTTGTTGTTTGCTAGCAACAGCGCTCGCAATTCAGTGAGGAGCCCAACACTGGTGCTGATGGTTCCAGAGAGATTGCAATCGCCAAAGTATAAAAGAACGAGCTCACTGCACCCGGTGAAAAGCTCTTCTGGAATTGTGCCACTGATGAAACTGTTATGCATATCCATTTCCCTGAGTATTGTTAACAATCCGAGCTGGGAGGGCAAAGGTCCATCCAACGAAGTTTCACCGAAAAAGAGATACTGCATATTCACAAGATTCCCAACTGCTTCCGAAAGTGTACCTGTGAACTGATTCGATTGCAGGACCATCCGCTCCATGTTCGAAAGGCCAAACAGCTGATTGGGCAAGAGACCCGACAACCGATTGAATCCTAGACTCAACCGAACAAGCTCAGATGCAAGCCCAACATCAGTGGGCAGCGTCCCGGTCAACGTATTGTTTTCAAGATTCAGACTTTCGAGACCAGGATTATTGAAGATTTCGGCCGGAATCGTCCCAGCAAACTGATTAGCTCCTAGATCCAGCTCGGTTAGCATGAGACTGGAAGGAATAGTCCCCGTCAGCTCGTTATGGGAGAAATCTAGCTTGGTCAGCTTTGGAAGCACGCCCAACTCAGCAGGTAGTTGACCATTCATTTCGTTGGCATTCAATTCGATCACTGTGACGACCCCTGATTCGCAGAATACGCCACCCCACTGACACTCAGGAGAGCCAGAGAGCCATCGATTTCCCCATTGAACGTGGTTGACATTAAGGAAAAATTGACAGGTGTCGTCCTGTGCACCTTGTGGTGGGTTGCAGGAATACCAGGGCTTTCTCTCTGTTGAATGGTAGTATAGAAGGGCCAAGATGAACCGTTGCAACAAGTTGTCTGCATCAGGTTCCAATTGCTTTGGATCGGCGTTTATTATCCAATCAAGGGCCTTCTCGTAGGCCGAATTCTCGTCATCCAAGCCAAAACGCACAGAACGCAAACCAGCTGTGATTTGTAGCTCAAAGTCTTGCCTCAGGGCTTCTCTGCCAGTGGCAGATTCCATTGCTTCACTGCCACCACCACTTCCACAGTGACCAGTCCCACAAATGGATCCAATGGTGACGACCAGCACAAAAATAATGATACCAGCTGCAACATAGAAAGTTGGGAATTTTTTTGGTTCAAAGGCTGGCTTGTCGTCTGGAGAAAGAATTTGCTGTGGTATCTCTGGTTCCTCAGCCTCCATGACAGGCATGACAACCGCCAATTCCTGCGTAGCCGTATGGTCAGTTTTTTCGTCGCGGTCTGTAATGTCGGATGACTCCATCGACCCCGGTACAGTTGTCGGCGGCATGATCACACAGGGCCACGTATACTAGTAGTTGGGATTACTCTTTGGTTTGTGCAAGTGGCGTCAATACTCTACTGCAGTTTGGGCTGCTTCAATCCCCAACACAAGTCTTTCATTCAGTACCGGTATGAAGGGCTACGAGTTGGTTCAATACACACACATGTACAACCAGAAGTTGCTGCGGCGTGCTTGTTACCGTAATCGCTTACAGAGTTGGTCAGTGGACTGTGGCAGTGAGTTAAAAAGCGGACAGAGCAAGAAGGGCGCGAGCAGCACACCTGGGAACTCGAGCACAGTAATCGAGTACCGTTTTGCTCATTTAATTAAAGTTAGGTCATAGTAAAAACCGGACAGTCACTCCAGCTGTTGCCGGTACTCGAGTTACCACTCATTACGGTCATTCTCCGGTGGCGAACGGCGAACTGGTTAACGCGAGCTTTGCCATGGCGCATGGCTCCTCTAGAGTCCTTTTTTTACAAACAGCTGTTGATACAAGAGACACGTGTGCAGCGGAAGTGTGGAGAGATGTTGTTTTCACGCCGTGGAATAAGTAGCGAGGAAACTTACAAAGGACCAAGGACCAAGGACCCATCACAACTGCGGCTGGAGGCTGGTGGTACCTTTGGTGGTTTGGGCAAGTGATAGCAATTGAGCTGCTTCCTATTGCAAGTCTTTCATTTCATTCAGTGTCAATGGCCCATAACGAGCTCGTGTATGCAATTAGAGGCCCCACTTTTACGTATCTGCCACAAGCAAGAGGACAGGCCGAGACCCTCCCAAAAAGCAAAGCCGTTATTATGAGGATCCCGTTGACGGAGAGACGTCCGTCTACCTGCCATCAGTTTCGAAATCTCACACCAACAAAAACAAAAGAGTCTCAAAAGCAAGTGGACACCAGAGGACGGACGATCGATCGAGGCGGATGCTATCATAATAAGTGTAACACACCGACAGACAGGAGCATGACCATTATTGCCGCCGACTCGAGAAGCAACAAGTTTGTTTGGAACGACTACACGGTACCTCGTTGGCCGTTGGATGATGATGATGATGATGATGCCAAAGCGGATGATGCTGTGATTAGCGATGCTTCTTTCACCCTCCGACATCTCAAGCAGGGAGCCACGGGAGCTGTCAAGACTTGGCCCGTGGCAGAGTTGCTTCTCGACTACCTGGTACGACACGGAGGACTCTTGCGGCACAAGAGCACTTTGGGGGCACTGGATCTCACCCATGATGAGCCAGCCGATCTGAAGCAGCTCTTTTCTCTAGCACAGCAGCAACAACACTGTCAGTACAACATTCTCGAGTTGGGAGCGGGAACGGGCTACGTAGGGATTGGATTGGCCCGGTCTCTCCAACGCCATTCCATTCGAGTCCTTTGTACTGACAACGATAAGAATACCCTCAAGAATATGCGACACAATTTGAGAGCTTGTCAAAGCGACAAGACTGTTCGAGTGGCGCATTTGGACTGGGGAGACACTAGCATCCTGGAACCCAAGTTTGTAAAGGCGCTAGAAACCTTCTTTCCAAGTACCGGTACTACACAAGACGATCCATCCCTGCCATTGGAACGGATCACTCACGTCATTGGATCCGATGTGCATTACGGTGAGACCACCTTGGAACCCTTGTCGACAGTGATTGCAGCCGTCAAACTTCAAAATCCAAAGGTTCAGGTCACCTTGTTGATCAAAGAACGTGCGGTGGACTCGATTGGGGCCTTGAAGAACCGCATTCAAGACAAAGTGGGAGATTCCTTGCCCGGATTTTCCGTCCTGGTCCGAGACGTCTTGCACGAAAGTGTGACAACCGTCAAGATCATAGAGTGCTAAGGTTATGATATCATTATTGCCTAGGCTAGGTCATTGCCTCGAATGTGAATTCCTGGCATGTCTCGATCAATGATGATGTGTGGTTTCCTGATAACGTACGGCAGCATTGTTGGTTAGTGTTTATCTGTTCATTCGTGGTGCGGTACGGCACATATTATATTTGCTGCCTACAATGGATCAATCTACAAAACGACTGGGAGCGAGAAACTTCCTCTCAATCTGAATGCCATTGGGTAGGTTGTAGGCATGCTGATTCTCGTCATTCGACTCCTCCGCGTCCTCTTCCACGAGATACTCTTCCATACTTTGGGCGAGACAAACTCCCGTGGCGAGACCCGTCGTCCAACCCAATGTACCATGCCCTGTGTGGACAAACAAACCTGGTACCTCGGGGATGGCCCCGACGATGGGCAAATCGTCCGGACTCGCGGGACGAAAGCAACTCTGCACATCCTCCTTGCTTCTAGTGGCGGTTGGAAAGACAAGGTTGGAGTAGCGCGACAAGATGGAAGGACCAATGGATGCTGGCACCGGGGTGTTGTTGCTTCGTGGATATCCTACAAACTCCCCAAAACCGGCCCAGCGTGCCATGTGAGGTGTCACGGAGGTGCAGTACATGGAGTCCACGGAGAATGACGTGGGTAGGAGTAAATGGGGTTCATTGTTGTCTTTGTCATCGTCACAATAAGTTTGGCCTTGCGCAATTGTAGTCAGTGAAAATCCTCTCAGTGGATAGGTGGGCACGTATTTACCTGCGTTCAGTTGAGCCGACAAGAGTGGAGTGCAGACGCCTGCTGCCAGGACCAACAGATCAAAATCTTGAGAGGTTCCATCCTTGCAGGTGACCCGGAACCTCTTGTGGTCGACTCGTTCCACTTTATCGACCTGGCCGTGACGGTACTCCACTCCCAGTTTTCGAATCTCTTGCATCCAAGCTCGAAGGAACTGCTCGCAACTGGAAATGACCTCGTTTGGTCTGTGTACAACGGAAAGGGGGCTCTTCATGAGTGAAGATAGACTATTGAGACTGGGAGTTTTTGCCACGGCTTCCTCCCAGCTCAAAAGATGAGCTTCTTCCCCATGCTTTGTTGTGATTTCTTGGGAGTGTTTCGCCGTTGCCAAGTCTCGATAGAGGGCCAAGAATCCCCTCGAGTATTGAATGTTATATCCCTTTTGATTCATGTCATTGGCAACCTCCAAGAAGATGTCTCGATTGACCTTCGCCAATTGACACATGCAATGCCCTCGGTTGTTGGCTTCCAAGTCCCCTCGAACCAGAGAATAATAAAGAAAATGTCGGCAGAAGCGCAAAAACGACAATCGTTCTTCGGCTGTTGCGGAAGGACCCAAACACTTCCATGGATGCAAGGCAAAGTAGGGAGGTGCAATGGCAAAATCATTTCCTCTCAGGAGGTTTTGTTTGCCATAGCATTGTTGCTCAAGCCATTCTTTGCCGAGAAAGTACCACTCTTCGATGGTGTCACGAGCAATCTGCCAGACAACCGATTTCTTTGTGAAGACGTGCATGGACGATCCTGGTACGATGGAATTGGCGTTGCGAGCTGCTGCCGCACCCCACTGGGGTGGTTGATTTTCTTGATGGTCCGAAGCAGTTAGAGGACTGTTGGGATCTCCTTCCAATACAGTAATCTGATGGCTTCGATCTTTCCAGGTTGAATTAGAGCGGAGACGCTTGGCGAGAGCATAGGCTGCTGAGTTGCCGCAGATACCCCCTCCAACGATTCCGATGCGAAGCTTGTTGTCAGTAGTGCGTCGATCGAATTCCGTGCTGCGTGCAACGGAATGCTGAGGCTGTGAAGTTCGAGGTCCGGCAAAGGCAAAGAACGGAGAGATCGTCAGAGTCTTCCCATGCGAATGTTTGTGGCAATCCCCTTGTGGCTTCAAGAGAGAAGCAAAGGCAACGCTTGATAAAACGGCAAGATTAGGAGGCCAGAGGTTCATGGTGGGACTATTGTTACCTATGCGAGGTCTTTGCTGCTACCGGTGTGTACCGTACGAGTGCCGGGCAGACCCCGGTGATCTCTGACCCTGTCTCACAACAAGCATGCTGGGAGTGCAAAAAGTCGAGTCGAGTCGAGTCGAGCGACAGTCCAGCTGTCTACCTGGCAATTCCAATTGCCTCGTGCAAGCTTATTCGATTAGATCTACTAGATCTAGTAGCTAGAAGGTACCAGTACCAGGTAGTCTACACATGGCATGCGATTCGATTCGCTTCTACTCGCTGGCTTCCGTAGTCTGACCTTCCTACTCGAAACCCCCTTTCACCTTCTCAAGGAGGACCGGATAAGAATCGAATCGAACCCAGATTCCCCGCAGCCTGTAGCTATCATGTATCTAGCTAGACTATTTTCCCGTCTAGATCTACCATCTAGTTGCACACATGAGGAGGTTTACCTGCATATGTCAAGTACATCCTTATATCCAGAAGCCAATCCATAAGCATGTCAAGTACATCCAGAAGCCAATCCATAAGCTGAGATTCATTCCCATAAAACCATCCTTCTTCCCTTACAGCTAAATATGGGAATGCTCACTTCTTGCTTACAGCTTTTAAATAAACTAAAACCAAATTCTCCTGAAAGAGCTGTAGCGTTGCAGCTTACCCAGCACTATCTTATCTCGACGATGGCGCCGCATCCAAAGAAGAACGTAACGACTTGTGTGGTCGGCGGAGGAAGGTACGAAGTTGTCGTAGAGAGGAACATGTCAAGTCAATATGCCTCTGTCGCTGTCTAACTTTCCTGCTTGTTCAACCACCAGTTCCGCTCATGTCTTGATTCCCCTTCTGTCCGAGATGGGACACACCGTCAACTTGTACACGCGTCGTCCAGACGAGTGGAAAGACGATGTATCATGCGAAATCACCAACGGAGTCACCGGTCAGGTCTCCACAACCTACCATGGAACGATTCATCGTAAGTCCAACAACGCGGCAGATGTCATTCCGACAGCTGATGTCATCATCCTTTGTCTCCCCGTCTACGTGTACCGTCCTGTCCTCGATCAGATTGCGCCTTTTGTCAGCCAAACCAAGAAGGAAGTATTTGTGGGGACCATCTTTGGACAAGCTGGATTTGATTGGATGGTTTCTTCCAGTATCATACGTCAGGAGGAGGAGGAGGAGGAACCTCGAAGCAACATTGTCACATTTGCAATTGGAAGCATACCGTGGATCTGTCGCACTCGCACCTACGGTGAACGAGGAATCAATTACGGCCCGAAGGATGTCAACGTTGTCGCGGTGACTCCTCCCGGTCGGTTTGACAAACTCAATGACATCTTCTTGAAAGATATTTCTAGTCGCACGATGGGAAAAGTCAAGTTTGAGCTGGCCGATTCCTTCCTCGACTTGACGTTGTCCGTGGACAATCAAATCATTCATCCCGCGCGTTGCTACGGGCTCTGGAAAAAGTCGGGTGGCACCGGTGTGTGGGATTCCTTGGCGGCTGTCCCATTCTTCTACCGCGATTTTGACCAAGAGTCTGCGGACATCTTGCAAAGATTGGATGCTGAATACGAACGAATTCGCCAAGCGATTCGCAGCAAGCTCCCGCAAAAGAAGTTCAAATACATGCTTGGCTACCTGGAGTTGGAGAAGCTCAACCACAAGAGCAGTCATGTTGGCATCTTGGCCAGCCTAAAGGAGAGTGTGCAGCTAGCCTCCATCAAGACTCCCACGGTCGAGGGGCCCGACGGAAAACGGCATTTGGACATCAACTTCCGATTCTTCAAGGACGACATCCCCTATGGGCTCTTGATTGCCAAGGCTCTTGCCGAGATGCTAGAGGTCAAGACTCCCTTTTTGGATGAAGTGATTGTCTGGGCACAAACCCTTCGTGGTGAGTGCTTTCTCAATAAGGAGGGCAAGATCAACTTGAAGTATTGCATGAGCCAGGAGTATCTTTGTGGGATACCCCAGGTTTACGGACTGCACACTATTGAAGCATTGGACAACTGAGTGCGATACGGTGCGGAAGGCATGCGGTGCTTTCCGATTCGTAGTATTAGTCAACCGGAAGGCCAAGCAAGAAGTGCCATCCGGGCCGGTACTACAGTCTACGAAGCCAGAAATGCGATAGTTGCAACAGTGTACGTATACACAACCTGATCAGTCAGTCCCTCTAGCTACGAGTAGTTGCAATAAAATTGGTATTTCTAGCTGCTAGCTAGATAGTTTGTATCATTCCAGCTTGCTCCGCACGACGTACAATTTTGAGTGCCCACTTGTAGACGGGTGCATCCACCACAATGCCATGAACTTCCACGGCTCCTTTTCCCGCGGCCGTGGTGGATTCGTACTGTGTGACACAGGCTTGGGCAAATTCCAAATCTTTGGCGGATGGACAAAAGGTTTGATGAATGGTATCGAGTTGAGCCGGATGAATGGCTTGTTTTCCCGTAAAGCCCATTTCGACACCGCGGGTACATTCTTCTTGGAGTGCTTCCATATTGCGAAAATCAATGTGGACCATATCAATGGCTTGCAATCCGTACGCTTTGGCGGTGGTGACCAATTGCGATCGAGCCATCAAGAGTTCGATGGCCGCCGTGGTGCGAATCAACTCGAGATCGGCACAGTAATCCTCCGATGCAAAGACCAAGGCATCCAAACTAGAAGAAGATTGTTGATTGGTTGTCTCGGCAATCTCCCGTAAATTGAGCATTCCCTTGGCGGATTCAATGGCGGCAATAATGCGTAGATCCCGCGTTTCTTCTTGATTGTCGGGTGGGATCATTTCCACCAAACGCCGTACAAAATCCACATCTGAAGGAAGCTCCACTTTGGGAAGAACAATGGTCTGTAAACTGGGACACGGAAGAATGGCTTGGAGATCTTCAAAGGCTAGAGATCCCGTCTCCAATGCATTAATGCGCACACACAGTTCCGATGTTCCAAACGACAAATCTCCCGTTTCAACTTGTCGCAGTGTCTGGACGACCAATTCTCGAGCATCTTCTTTGCGATCCAACGCCACTCCATCTTCCAAATCCAATACTACGGCATCGGCATTCAAACCAGTCGCCTTTTGGATCTTGCGTTCGTCGCTCCCCGGAACACTGAATAAAGAACGACGAGGGCGTTCCACTTTTTGGGCGGCTGCTGCTGCTGCTGAAACAGAAAAGCTTCGTCGGATGCTAGAAGAAGAAAGAGTGGGCGTGATGCGCTTGAATAGTAACTGATAGTGCCTCATGGTGGTTGGTATGGATGTTTGGATTGCTATGGGTATAACGGTATCTCGACAGAGGAATTTTGGCTGCTGGTTCTCTTCTTCTATGCATAGATGTCTGCATGAGAACACGTTCAACAAAGATCCAAAGATTCGGTTCGCTTCCCTTCCCACCACCATGTTTGAAAGCGAACCCCCAAAGAGAAGCACTTCTTTGCTCCTTGGGACTCTGGAGCTCACAAAACAAAAGCAACTCTCAAACTTGCAGACTACAGTACGCCAATACCCAAACAAACAATCAATCAATAAACCATGGGCAAGAATAAGCAGACCGACGTGGAAGAATTCACTCTCAACAAGAAAGACCAGAAGAAGGTTACCAAGCTGGAAGCACAAATCCCATACCATGAAGGTCGAGGCAACCTGGAAGAAGTTGAAAAGATAAAAGCACAAGTCGAGGCGATTTGGGCCAAGGCTAGAGAGGCGATCTAATAATCGTCGTTGCTCAGAGGTTGCCGTCCATATCTATTTATTTCCGCGAGTTTCATTACCATAGAGTGAATGAATGATAAAGGTTTTAGAAAGACTATTAGTTTCAGATTTCAAGCAAGAAACACTACGTTCATTGCTGCTTCAAATAGTATTCTGCTGGTTAGCTAGAGATCCGAGCAGGTGACGTTTTTGCACACCCTGGGGATGTTACCTTTGAAAGCGTTTGCCTCGGCTCCTGTGGTTCTTGCCGCAACTACGGCAACCAGGAATTTCGTCTTCATTCATACTGCCTGTCACATTTTTAAATTTGGTGTTGGTGTAGCCGCCCGTACAGCTGCGTTTCTTTCTTCTTTCCAACAACCTGGTCAGAGCAGGGAGCATACATTGGAGAACTCTTCTCCGTTTATTAAATCCACGCCTTCGATGAGGCCCCAATTGGCGGTGGCTGAAATTTCACCCATTGTCTTTCTGTGCGAGATGGCCAAAGTGTTATCTGTGTTGTTCGTTATTCCAAGTTTGCCTTGTGAAGAGAAAACTCGTCCGGAGGATGCACAGTATGGCTGCCGTGGCTACGATAGCTGGGACACCATTATTGTGTGTCTCGATTGGCTCTGTAGGCTGCCTCCTGTCGAATCAATCATACATACATACATACATACATAGCTCAAAATAGTCTACCGGTAGACAACAGAAACACCGAGGCAACGTGATGCCCTCAACTTGCATTTTTCTAAAGGCCAAGGTTGCAAGGGTTCTGAAAAAGGCTGCTTGGTTCCGGTAGCCTTAACCTTGCCAGGGCAACTGTCTATTTTTTTAATTATTATGAAAGCAGCCCTTGCAGCTACGAGTACACCCTAACTAAGGCTTTTGATTTGATATTTGTCTGCCATCTGCCAGTCTGCCCAATGCCCAATCCACATAACAGGGGACAGGGCAATTAATAATTAAAATAATTGCGAGGCAGACCCGAAGTCAACACCGCAGAAAATGGGAAGACTCCACTCTCACTCGTCACTCCACGAAGATCTATCATAGAGAACTCCTCCATCACTCCCCACACAAATCTTAGCTTGCGGCAGTCGGCAACACCACTCCGAAGAAACATCTTGAGGCCAAACCCACAAGCAAAATGAACACTCAGCCAACGCAGCAAACTGATGGCACTGATGATGAAGAGGCTGCATTGAAGGATATTAGAGAGTCAGCTCTTGCAGACGTTGGGTTTGATGACTCCAGAGCAAGCATAGAAGCAAAACAGGCGGGAGCTGATATGGACACTACTGAAGCACTCTTGAACGAAGTCGGGGTGTCTAATATACAATCCAAACTTGGTTGTGAGGACGATTCTGCAAACTTGGTCTCAGAGATTGAAAAGATGGCTACTGGTTCTTCAAAATATGAGGCTGGCTCTATTGGCCAAGCCAAGAATGTGCTCGAAACAAGTGAAGCCGCCCCAAATAAAAATCCAAATTCAGTTGCTGTTGCCAATACTGCACTCGCAAGTGGCAAAGCCAGCGCAATAGATAACCTTGGAAGGGAACCAATGAATGGAAACGTTGAACCCCTGGAAGTCGGAGAGTCCTTCCTAGCAAAGCGAGGTCTCAGTAGCAACACACCTGCAGATGATTTTTCTTCGGAGATAATGCCGCTACCATCAGGCGAATCCCTTCAACATGTCATGCTCCAAAGTACGTTGACTGATCCTGGTGCGCATGCCATGCCTGGGATGTATCATCCACGAGACAACCATGTCCAACGAGACAATCAAACAGACACCGCAGAAGCTTCTTTGGTGCCGACTCGGACTGATCACAATCATCATGGAGGAACAGAGGGTCCTCTGATTGTCGCCAATATGGTCATGGACACAAGTGCTGGTGAACTTCATAGAGCAGAAGAAGTGACCCAGGAAGAATTGCAAAGGAAAAAAAGGCAATCGTCCATGGCTTTATCTATAGCTGGTTTCCTCGCAGCAGGCTTCCTGGCCATTGCCGTCTTGGTTTTGGTTCTTCTTCTTGCGCTGCGACAAGATAGTGATGATGGTGCCTTTGCTGGTGATATGGCCCACCAAATCCCTCAAAATGAGACTCTGCCTCCTCGTCCAATGACGGCTGAGGAACGCATGTTGTCCCTCTTGCCGGACTTCACCATATCCAAACTCAATGACATTGACTCACCTCAAAACAGATCCTTTGAATGGATCATTCAAGATCCTCTCTTTGACAACTACACAGACCATCGAATCCTCCAGCGCTATGGCTTCGCTACATTTTACTATGCAACTGGAGGAGGGACAAAATCATACTGGTACAGTGATGATCATTGGCTCTCTTATGACCATCACGAATGTGACTGGTATGTGAAAAACATCAACCATTACCATGATTATGTGATCAGCGAAAATTGGAGCAAACCAGTTGGACCTTGTGATTACAATGTCAATGAGCCCTTCGTTAGTGCCACTCCTCAGCAAATGGAGGAAGGGGGTATCTATCAACATCTTTGGTTGTACAATCACGAACTTGGGGGGTACATACCAGAAGAGCTTTCTCTTGTTTCCACCCTCAAGAGCATTCTTCTCTTGAAGAACCAAATCAAAGGTTCGATTCCATCCCACTTGGGTATGCTTTCAGATTTGGAAGCCCTATTCTTATACAGCAACGACTTGTCTGGGACGCTTCCAACTGAGCTTGGGATGCTTCCAAATATCACGTACATTTGGTCAATGGCCAACCCAGGGTTGACTGGATCACTTCCAAGTGAGATTGCTCAGCTCACAACTTTGAAGCAGTTCTTGACAGACAGTTGCAACCTGACTGGACAGATCCCTTCGGAACTGGGCCTAATGTCAAACCTGGAGTTCTTTTGGGCATGGAGCAACCCATTGACAGGCACTCTGCCCACAGAGCTTGGCCTTATGACATCCATGCGACGGTTTGGGCTGTGGAACTGCACCTTGTCCGGAAGCATCCCTGCGGAAATGGGAATGATGGAGTCCATGGACGAGTTGGCTTTTGATGATAACCCAAAAATGGTGGGCACCGTTCCTTCGGAGCTTGGGATGCTGTCCAAACTGACAACCCTCCATTTTGGTGGAACGTCACTCACAGGAACAGTCCCTACAGAGATTACACAGTTGCCATTGGGCTCATTGTTTCTACACAATTCAGGTCTTTCTGGCTCTCTTCCATCAGAGTTGGGCTTGCTCTCTGGTTTGTGGAGACTTTGGTTGTTCAATAGTAGCTTCACGGGGACACTTGCTACAGAGTTTGGATCTTGGCAATCATTGGAGTACATGAGATTGCAAAACAACCAGTTTTCGGGTCCAATCCCAAGTGAAATCGGAAGGTTTGAGAACCTGACTGAGTTGCTGTTGCATGGCAATTTCTTTACGGGCACAGTGCCCAAAGAGTTGGGGTTGCTGCAAAAGTTGACCGATTTGTCGGTCAGCAACAATAGCCTTACCGGCAGCATTGACCCTGCTTTGTGTGAGTTGGGCTCGTGGCTGACGGAAGGGGCGACAGGAATCCAGGTTGATTGTGACTTGGTGGACTGCAGTTGTGATGTTTGTGTTTGTGATTGACTGCTATGGATGCAATTGACAAAGAGTGCCTGTGATCAGGTGCATTACATTGGTTTATGCATAAATTTATTATGAAGCAAATGACCAGCCTGCCTGGGAGTATGTATTCTGCTACCGGGGTATCTCCGTTTTGTCAACAGCTGCCGGTATGCATAGTGACAAGGCCAAGTTAATTCCCTCAATGATAGGGATTATCTACCGGGATTAAGCCTCGTCACGAAACTTCTGAAGACGCAGCTCCATTCCAACCCAATGCATCCATCATCTGGCGGCGTTCCGGCTATTCCTGATACAGCTGTGTCATTGAAGAAAACGGAAGAGGACGACGATGACGACGATGACGCCATGAAAAAGTCATGAATTGTATGATGTTGGCCGAGTGACACTTGAGGGGGTTTGGAGTGCTTGCAGGGGTCCGGTACCAGCAGATTACTCAACGAGAACTCGAGAACCCTCATTCAGCGTCATTTTTTTAGAAGATCACCTGAAGAAGCTGCTTCCTCAAAGATAGAGGACCATGATGCCCGTTGCCCTGTTCTTCCTTTTGGTTGCATCGGTCGCCACATCAGCTAGTGGCAGACCAGTGAACCCGTTTGCCTTTGATAAGGTCCGTATCGAACGACACGCTGTGTCGACTTCCATGGCAAAAGCCACGTTTCGACGCATTCTGACAGCAGCCCTACCCAGTCCTCAAGACAGCTTTGACATGAATTTGATAGGGCTCAAAGGGGACGCTGGATCCCAATGGGATCAACTCCTTGGCAAGAGCGAACGCGCTAGGATGTTTCACAAAATTGTCGGTGGAAGCAAGGTCGACCAATCCAGAGCCACCGGCATTCTGCGCCTGGAACACCTCCGCCATCAATCGACGACCAAGGCAATCATACATGCAGCGGTTGACAACAGTGTGCTGGAGGATGGCGGGACCATCCATTTGTACTTATCCCTCCCCAATTCCGCAGCGTTGGGCAACCACACGGACATTACCAACATTTTTGTACTGCAACTCGTGGGATCCAAGGATTGGGTTTTCTGCCAAGAAGAAGAAAATGCCTTTTACCACACCAGTCTCCGTGGCAAATTAGACAAGTGTACCACCTACAACGTGGAGGAAATGGAGCATATGGAGTGTACACGAGAAACCCTCTATCCAGGAGATGTGTTGTATCTTCCCAAGCGCGTGGTGCATTCAGCCCGAGCCACCGACAGTGGATTGTCCGCTCACCTTACGTTTGGCTTGTCCGACCACATGTGCTCGGAAGACTCCCGGAAAGTTTTCTTGCCTGCTAATAATAGAGCTTTATCCGACACTTGTAACTCGGACGAAGGTGGCTCTTCGTGCAACACTGGCTGCACCGGGTCTTGCGACGACAGCTGTGACAGTGGCTGCAACCATAGTTGCGACTATGGGATTGCATCTTGTGACAGTTCTTGTGATGGACGCTGTGACTACAGCTGTGACACGTTGTGCAACGAGGGCTGCGACATCTGCCCCAATATGCCCACGAGCCCTACCGTGCCCTTGCCAACGGCAGCACCAGCGGTATCCGATAGCCCGTCTCTGGCACCATCACAAAAGACACCACTTCCGACGGGCGCCCCAACAGTAGCTCCTACTTGGCCACCCACCACCATGCCGACAACGCGGACACCCACCTCCAAGCCGATTGCTCCCACGATGATGGAGCCGACCACCGCTGCTCCAACGGCGACGTTCATTCTTCCCTTTCTTGTATGCCGAGTCAAACTTCATGGCCGTGACAGCAACAATGATGGTCTCATGTCCCAAACCGAGTTTCTGTTCTTTGTCAATGGCCTTCCTTTCACGGACGAACACTATCCATCGTTCGAGTCCCTCCCATCTTCGGTACAAGCCGTTTACAATAGCTATGCATTGGCGGACACAGGACAAATCGATATCTTTGGAACTGGCCTGTTGGAACAAGCAACTCAGGACAAGCTTGACACTCTCGAACAGTTCTGTTTTGATACCCAAATGGCATGGGCTCAAAGTGAAGCAGGAGCGACTACGGCAGCCCCGTCATTCCCTCCCACTACTACCCAGCCAACCTCAAGTGCATCGGCGCTTCCAACTGCTCCACCGACTCAAGTGCCAACCAAACAGCCAACATTGCATCCTTCGATGAGTCCCTCCGCCCCACCAACATCTTCAAGTCCTTCACTTTCACCAACATCTCCCCCCACTACCGCACCAACAAATAAGCCTTCAATGAGTCCCTCACCTCCACTTACGTCCCCCCCCACTACCTTGCCAACACTGCAACCAACTTCAAGGCAGCCAACATCAAGTCCTTCCCCCACTGTCGTTCCAACAAAGCAGCCAATGTTTACTTCATCTCCTCAAACTTCTCCACCAACCACCTTTCCAACAAAGCAGCCTTCATTGAGCCCTTCAACTCTTCTGACGTTCCCCTTCACGGAGCAGCCTACAAAGAAACCATCATCAAGTCCTTCACCTCCGCCAATTTCCCCCCTGACAGAGCCACCAACAAAGAAGCCAACTTCGAGTCCTTCACCTCTTCCAATTTCCCATCCCAGTGCTTTGCCAAGTGCTTTCCCTTCAGTGTCATCACACCCCACCATTTTGCGGATTGGGTCCAATATCTTTGCCCCCACCAACAATCCTCATGAAAGCCCTGGAAATCTTGGACAACCACCTTCCAAAGAATCAACAACAAAGTCTCCCAGTAGACATCCGTCATCCTGGCCATCAACGTTGTTGACCTCAAACCCAACACATGATCCAACAACTGACCCATCCATAGTGCCTACGCAAGTCCCATCAAGACCGCCCATGCCTCATTCAGCACAGACCCCATCTGTCACACCAGTTGGCCTTCCAAGCCTGGAAGCAACCATACCATCAAATGGAAGCTCTGCCGTCGCTTTTGAGCTTGCCGCAATGGGAGAGGTATGTTCAGGGGACAACGACTGCGAGACTGGGGCATGCCATTGGACAAAGACTTCTGTCAGTAATACCGGTAGCAGTGGAGGGTGTGTCTGCAATCAAGTGACTCATGCTGGTTGCGCCAACGGAACGCATTGTGCTGTTGTGGCCCACGACCACAAGAACAACAGCAGCTTCCCCGCATGTAGAGTATCCAATGGCCACGAATGCACCAGAGACTCGCAGTGCCACAGCAATCGTTGCGTCTTTGGAGACAACCAAGCTCAGGAAAGGCACAACATTTTCGACCACAGGACTTTTGAGGGAGTATGTGGTCCGGGGCCAGTTACAGCAACCGCCGAGCCAGGGCCGACAGAAGCACCCGGAACAACTACTTTGAACGGCTCGGTAAACCAAGACACCCCATTCTCTTGCTCTCATAATAGTCTTCTTTTCGGACAAGTTGCTACGCTTTCTGCGCTCATCATCGCTCTTGGCATGATCTTCTAGCATTCTAGCTATCGGTAGCAGCGTTCGGGAATATGGAGGAGACGGTGGTCGCGCCATGATGCCAGGGATCGAGGCAGGGACAAGTGCATCGAGGCCAAACGATGGACGTAGGCAAAAATTGATCGAGTGGAAGAGACGGAACCGAGTGATATTCTGGTTAATGAGACGAAGAAAGGCGTTGTCCCTATCACCCCTCTGACCTTTTGCATCTACTGGAAAAGAACTACTGAATGTTGTTCTTTATAACACTCGTCATTTTCGCATTACTTTAATTTGGCCGATGATCTAAGTGCTCTATCTAGTCCGCCTGGGACAAAAGACCAGTGCATGGGCTAACCTGACAGATCAGATACATCCGAGTCATCGCCATCCAACGCAAGGCTGACCCCACTTTCTTCATAGTCGATGTTACTTTCATGGGCCAGGCTGGAGTCTTCATTGAAACCAGATGCAAAATTGGAATCGAGCATCGTTTCTGTACCCACATTCAGGCTAGCATAACGTTGTTGAAGTCCCATGGCTTTCTTCCTCATATCATCCATCTGTTCCTGACGTTCCCATTCTTGTTTAAGATCCCCTCGCACAGCATGAGTCAGGTCTTGAGGCATGTGAGCTATGGCCTGCTTCAGCATGGGGTTGCTTGTTCCAATCGAACCACGTCGTCCTGCACGGCCAGGTCTGGCGTTTGCACGAACTTGGCGTACATGAGCATTTCCGCTGGCTGCATCAGCGCCACTGTCCTGCGGCTTTGCTTCGGATACCCCCTGCGACGCTGGTGCTAGCGGTGGTGCTCCTGCTGACTGCGGACCATCCAAGACACAATTGTCAACTTGGTCATGACCCAAGGAGGCCCTACGAATGCGTCTGCGGGCGCTCAATTTTGGAGTTGCCGGAACAACTGGCTGTTTCGATTCGGCCGTCAAGTCAGGAGCAGCAGGCACATCACTTCCGGTCGCCAAAGTCGCGCGCCGAATCCGGCTTCGGGCTGTCATGGGGGTCTTCCCAACCCCTTGCTCCATTTTCGCCCCGTCTGCTCCGTCTCGTCGCGGCATAGGCCGAAGGGCTGCACGCTCCCTTGTTCGTCGAGCTGCCGGGGCAACACCTCCCAGCGACTGTGCAACATCCTTATAGTCGTCTTCGTCAATATCAACGTCGAGGGCCCCGCAATCCAGTGCGCCGTCTGGATCATTACGTTCTGTCGTCGACTCGTCCAGAAGTGCTGGCTTCATCTCAATAGACCCACGACGACCTCGCCTCGGGGTCTTGAGGCCCACGTCAGCAGTGCCAGGAGGAGCGGCAGGCCGAGATCGTATTCCCAACGAGGCTCTGCTTCTCCTTGGCGTAGCCATTACTCCGGCATCATCACCCGCACCACCAATCATTAAATTTCGAGAGGATTGTGGTCGTCGCGGGGTCTTTGTCATGTCATCGTTGCCACCACCCAGCATCAGGTTTCGTGAAGACTGAGGGCGCCGCCGTGGGGTCTTTGTCACATCATTGTTGCCACCACCCAGCATCAGGTTACGTGAAGACTGAGGCCGCCGCCGCGGGGTCTTCGTCACGTCATCGTTGCCACCACCCAGCATCAGGTTTCGTGAAGACTGAGGCCGCCGCCGCGGGGTCTTTGTCACGTCATCGTTGCCACCACCCATCATCAGGTTTCGCGAAGATTGAGGCCACCGCCGCGGGGTCTTTGTCACGTCATCGTTACCACCACCGACCATCAAATTTCGAGAAGACTGAGGCCGCCGAGGGGTCTTTGTCACATCATCGCTGCCACCACCCATCATCAAGTTTCGAGAAGATTGAGGCCGCCGCGGTGTCGTCGGCACTCCCAAAGCATCACCCCCAATCTCACCGCCCATCAAGTTTCGACAAGATTGTGGTTGCCCGGGCGGCTTTGTCAGTCCTACATTCCCGCTACTGCCAAAGCCCCTTAACATACCGCCTTCATTCGATTCTCCTTTAGCAGCGCCGCCACTGTCACTGGCAAATTCCTCACCATCATCTTCGTCGTCAGAATCCAACGGTAAGACATCACCTTTGGGCTTTGAAAACGAAGACATTCGTGCTAAGGACAGAGCATTTTCAACCGTTTTTTGGGACTTGACAAGCCCTCCAAGCAAACGCTGCGAAGCTGACTTCACCTGTGCAGCCGCCAAGCTGGGCCGTCCTATCGCTGTAGTCATCAAGCTTGTGCGTGCTGCCAGTGCCGCGAAATTGGGCCTCCCTGTAGAATGCGCCGACTGCGTCTTGAGCTCATCGTCGCCGTGTTGACTCGGTAATGTGAGACTATCATTCTGTTGCTGTTGAAGTTGCTCCAAGTACTCGGTGGTGCTAGATTTGGCCCTTCTTGGAATGACTTGTCGTGCAGCAGGTTTTCTTGGCACCGGAGGTACGGGTGCAATGGTCCCCATTGGGGTAGCGGAGCCATCCGCAGCATCGGCAAAAGACTGCGATCGTCTTACAAGACCCTTCTTTTTCATCATGGACCTGGGTGTTTGTGGCGCTAATGAGGTGGGAGTTTGTCCGGCCAGTCTCGACACGTCAGATTGGCTTCTTCCAATGGTTTTCTTTTTCGCTCTGGATGGCGTCGCAGGAGGCTCTGGAGATTCGAATGTGGAAAATTGTTCGTTGAGCTGGTCCAGGTCATCAATTGAAATCTGACCACCGTCTCCATCCAAACACTTGATGACCAACATTTCCGCTGCAGCAGAATCTCTGTCAACGCTTGTGGGCCTTCTCGCTTTGCCCCTTGAACGGGATCTGGGTGTCATGGTTGCTCTGTCGCCCCTCCGCACCCTCCGTGCGGAAGAGGACCGAAAGGAGTCAACAGATCGCTTGGCGGTACCGTTGGTGGAAGCCGATCTCCCAGTGCTTGCGTCGCTGACACGAGACCCCTGTCGTCGCAGATGATTGTCGCCCCCATCTTTTCTTTTCGCAGCAGATGGTTTGCGCATGGGTTTGTTGGACTGCGGGGTAGTCTTTGGACGGTCTTGTCCACACATACCGCAGAACTGCAGCTCGGCTTCATCATGTTCCTCTTGGCAATTTTGGCACACCCAGGTACCTTCCTCGGGTGGTTTTCCCTCGTCTGTGGCCTTCGGTGGTTGGGCGCTGTCATGGCTTGTCTTTTTGTCCATACCGGTGGCGTCGTTAGTATTATCACTTGTCTTTTTTTCCGTAGCATCTTGAGTTTCGCTGTTGTCGTTGTCCCACTCGGAAAACTCGTTCTTGCCGCTGTCGAATCCAAATGCCAAATCTCGAAACGAAAAGTCGGCAACCTTGAAGTCGGGCAAATGTCCAAAGTCGGTGTTGGCGGAATCACGATTCGTGTCCTCTTCAGTTTTTGGGTTGTTTGCTTTTGCCTCTGCAGCTGGGCTTTCATCGGTGCCTGCCTTGTCCCCGTCCCTGGCTTCGTTTCCTTCAACTTGGTGTTCTTCATTATCAGCCTTTGCGGGTGTTTCGGGTTCTTTCGCAGCGTCTTCTTCCGGTTTTGTGTCACCATCTTCCGTGTTTGTTTTCCCTCCTTCTTCTTTGGTTCTCCTTCGCGTCTCTTTGGAGGATCGCTTGGAGGATGATGATGATGAGACTTTATTGGGTCCGCGAGTATTCCCGCTGCGACGACTGCTCGTTTTCCGATCCTCGGCATTGTTCTGTAGTTTTCGACTGGATAGATCGGTGGTCTGTGTCAAGAGATGATTTTTGCTGGCATTGCTTGCCGTTGTTGTATGTGTCGTACCAGTGGTATCGGAGGTGATGGAATGCATGGCACTGGAATCCAAGGCTGATGAAGCACTCTTGCGGGATGGTTGGCTAACGTCCAATGTAGGATCGGATGTTGCTGTTTGTCCCGCCGTAATCATTCCTCCCAGGCTTTTGTCGTTTCCCTCCTCCTGCCCTGTTTTTTTGCTGTGGTGCTTTCGACTGGATTTGGATCTCCGTTGTTGGCTGGAATCATTGTCTTTGCTTCGTTGTTTCTTCCTCTCGTGTTCATCGACAGAGGAAAGTGTGGTTGGATTGCCACTCGCTGTGCTGGCTTGCTCGCCTTCAGTATCGTCCTGAAGTCCCTCTTCAAGTGAGCGCCGTGGACTGGCGGATCGATCTCTTCCTGATGAGGACTTTCTCGTGGAATGCCTTCGTCGATTTGCTCTTTTGGCGTCTTTGGCAGGCTCCGATTGTTGGTTCGATGCCAAATTTTCACCATTCTTGTTGTCCGTATCCTGCTCAGATGGTCCCATGGCAGCAGTCCCATCCATTTGTCAGATTCATTCTTATCCGATGACTCTTGTGTCACCAAGCCTTCCTGCAGTGATCGCCGTGGACTGGCCGATCGACTCCTACTGGATCTTGATTTTTCCGTAGATTGCTTTCTCGATTTGCTTTTTTTGCGTCCTTGGTAAGAACATTTTCTTGACCAAGATCCATTTTTCTGTCATGCTTCTTGTCCGTGCCCTGCTCAGATGATCCCATGGCAGCTCGACTGAGCAAATTGGAAGCACTGGAAGATTTTCTCATACCCCCACCACTGCCAGCAGCTTTTTGTTCCCTTCTTCGCTGGCTGATGGAAGCTGCACTCTTGGAACCACCACCAGTGCTGCTAGATTTCATGTCGGCACTGACTCGTCTCTTGCTTCTGCTCCTGGGAACACTAGCATCGCCAGTGGAGGCAATAGCCCTTCTTTCTCGTTCTGAGTCTCTCATCTTCCCTTCGTCACTTCCCCACTGGCTAGTACCATTTCCGCCGCCACTGGTCATGACACCATGCTCTGTTGGGGCTGATGGTGATGGCAGAGGGGAAGAAACCGCTGATAGGACCATCATGGTCAACCCATTGACTCTCTGTTTGAGGGTGCTCTTCTAATGCCGCTTTCGAAAGTGCTTTCCCGCGAACATGCTGCCAACTAGTTTACCAGAGTGTCCTAGTTTCAGAGTTCATGCATGTCTCCAAGTCGAGTGGTCTTAGCAAGGAGCACACAAAAAGAAGGCACAACTTTTGGATCGATTTGGCCAGTGACCATAGGATTTAAAGCCTCACTAGTTTTTAGAAATGTCAGTAGATGGTCATGCCAGCACTCTAAGATTTATTATTGAAGCTTGGGGTTCATCGTGACTGTGTGGTATTCTTCGGTGACACCCTGTTGGGCTGCATTTGCATCACATGTGTTGTCGATGCCGTAGTTATCAACAACTTTTCCAAAACCGTGCAGCTGTCTTTAGAAATAATGGTGCCACAATGCATCGTACGGTGCGTACTGGCAAATCAAATAAGTGAATGGCTCAGTAGGGCTCACAAAGGAAACAAGGTTGTCAAGTGTAGACCAGCTACATGATCCCACACACCTGATGACAGTACCGTAGCTGAAATGGGCCAGCCTAGCCAGCTAGCGAGGAGTGACAGCTTTTTACAAGAAACAAACCCACTCTTCAATAAGCGAACTGCACAAGGGAAGGCATCACATTCAGATATCTTCATTCACCTCATGAGAATTGAATCCCTTATTAGGAAAGATTCTGGGGCATCATCAGCTTGTCCTGGTCCAAGATACATAACTTGCGAAGGAGCTTGTCTATTCTAGCTAACTTTTGTTTCAATTTTAAAACTCATGGAATTGATCCAAAAGGCCTTGGAGATCACAGACTTCTAAGTGTAGATCTTCTTGCAGATCTATATTGTATCTTGTGTGCCTTGAGTCCTCTGACTGAACTCCCAACTTGGCTGCACTGCTGAGCATTCTAAAGATGGCATGGAAAGGTCCGTTGTGTCCAATACAGAGGCGGCAGGATGGGTATGCTTTTGATCCAGACAACACATTTGATGCAACTGGGAGGGGGAAACTGGGCTCCAAATACGATACATACGTGTCTCCTTACAACAGTTTCTGGACAATTGGGAGTTTAAAAAATAAAAAAAAAGCCTCCAGGTAGATTGGTTGACTGATATCTGCAGCACCCATTCATACGAGTAGGGCTGGCAACACCAGTGAGCCCAAAGATATCAGGCAATGGCAATTTAATGTTGACATGCAAACGCAGAGGCGGGGAGGTATCCCACAATCCTAACCCCAGTAGGTGCTGGATCCCAAACAAACACAATTCGTGTAAACGTTCTCAAGTTTTTAAGATGACCCTTCCTTCCCAATGGTTAGTGTCTGTTGCATGTTTGATTAGGTAGAGGAACCAAAGACTTAACTTAAAAACCCAATCACCTAAGCAAACCAATGAATTCTGCCGCAAGCCCGGCCTTCCATGAATTCGCGCTCTTTGCGGCAACCTTGGTGCTGCTGACACCGTACACCCGGCGGCATTGCATGTCGCTTCGAGGAGATAGATATCATAGCAACCAAAAAGTCTTGGTCTTTGGGTGCTAGCTAGCTAGTTCTGCATTGCAGTCCCTTCCCTATACCGGTAGCGAGGGAGACAGATACGATTGAGTGAGAGTGAGAGAAGAAAGAGTGAGAAAAAGGTATAGTGGTAGCTTTGGCTGAAGCCCTGGAGCAGGTTTGGTGGTATATACCCAAGAGATTGACTCATAGGACTGTCATCATTAAGCACGAACTGGTTGTTGACCATGGATCCACCAGCGTCGTCCAAATCCAAAGGGGGATCCGATGTGGCACGGGGCACTGCTAGCAATTCGAGTCTGATTCTAGCCATTCCCAAGGAAATTTTGCAGCAATCCCTCAAGGCTCTTCAACAGGCGGTCATGAGCGTCATGTGCTCGTACGGCTGTGACGCGATACTGGTGTTTCTACCCGTGGTCAAGCTGTTGGATGCCTTTTGGCAGCAGCTCTCGGAGCAACATCAATGGCAAGACAAGTCCTTGGACCTCAAGATGAAAGTGGTCATGACGGCAGTCAGTCACTTGCGGGGAGATAACACCATCTCGGATGCTCTGGGGATCAATCTAGTGGAGCAATTACGACAGTACTATACCACTGTCCAACAGCAGGAAGAAAAGGAACAGCAAAAGCAATGGGATCCCACAAGCAATACCAACAGTATGCAGGTTACCCATCAATTGATGATGAAAATGATGGTACAGCACAACCGACGCCATCAAGCATTTCACCAGTCACAGCAGAGACAGCTTCTCCCAGGCCAAGCCACAGCCAAAGCCAAGGACCCACCACCAGTGCAGCTCCAAGAGTTGCAACAGCAACATTTACAGATCCAGCAATTGCAGCAACATCAGGGGATGCAACAGCAGTTGAAAAATCAAGTTCTATGGCAACAGAAATTGAGACAAAGTCAGGAATATCAAAACAAACGACGACAGAGCCTACAAAACGCATCCTCCATCTCACTCTGGAAAGAACTGCAGGAACGCATGAAGGTAGTTTCGAAAAACGATCCCGCCGCTCGACGCAGCAGTGCTCCTTCCAATCTCGAAGGCACTGCCAACGTTGTTCCCAACCAACAAGTGCATCAGGACAGCAACTCCAACCGTGCCTCTCTAGGAGTAGTGGGGAACATGATGCCCTCCAACACGTCCAGAAGATCCTCCAATTCCTCTTTTTCCAGACCAGCTTCTACGACACCCTTCTCCAGACCAGCTTCCACTACACCATTCTTCCATACCACCGCCAATAACATGGCCAACCAGTCTATTCCAATTTTCCGACAAGGTCGTGTGTCAGAAGTGGATGATGCCATTATTCAACTATTGGGCGGGAAACAACAACTCAACAGCAGAATTACCACCATGGGATCCAACAATGATTCGTTTTCGTACACGACAGACTCCACCTTCCCAAACATGACAGCCTTCCCAAATATCGAAGGTATTCTGGATGGCAAGTTAAAGAAACCACCCTCTCTGTCGGATTCTTTTTCATCCCAAGATCCAACCCAGAACATCCGGAATTCTTTTGATTATGAGGAGGAACCATTTGGAATCAAAAGGGCTGTCCATCCTTCCGAACAATTGGCTGCAAAGCCCTCCACTTTAGTGGCGAAGTATATGGAACTTAACTACAACCAAACAAACACTGCCAACCTCCAACAGAATCACACCGACAAAGGTTGGGAAATGCCGTTGGGAGCTTCTGGTGGGGAAAAGGCAGGGCAAATGGATAAGGAGGCCACAACAGACAACAGACATTCCACTCGAAGCAAAGGTCTCAAAGCCAACAATGAGAATTCCAAAAAAGATCCCACCGTCATGCCAGAATTTGTCAGCAACGAGCCAGTGGATGGTGAAACCACAGAGTTCAAAGATCCTACTTTCGACAATTTGCAGATTGAGGGTGACAAGAAAAAGCCAACGGAGTTCAAAGTTGCCACTGCCAACAATTTGCAAATTGAGGATGATAATATTGGGCCGGTGGATCCTGGACCCACTGAGTTCAAAGATGCTACTGCCAACTCTTTGCAGATTGAGGATGATAAGAAAAAGCCAGTGGACGGTAAATCCACGGAGTACAAGGATGCTACAGCCGACAATTTGCAGATTGAGGATGCTAAGAATGAGCTCTCATCTGCAAACACTCCAGAGGTTCAACCAGAACCAAAGCGCAAGACTCGGAAAAAGAGTGACCCACCCGCCAAGTCTCCAAAATCAGCATCACAGGAGGCAACACCAAAGAAGGAAAAGGAGGAAGTTGCCAAAAAGACTCAGGGTGTTGAACCCAGTGGAAAGGATGCCACAGCCAAGAAGCCTGGGGTTGCTTCACTGCCATCCGCTCCCACCACCACCCGCCGAATGACGACACGAGGGATGACCAGAGCAAATAGTCAGAATTTTCATTCTGAAATTGAGAAAGTGTCTGCCAGCGTCAGTCAAAACCAAGACATGACATCAAAAGAGCCACCAGCAGATCATGGGACTAAGAAGAAACGTTGGGGACCATTGAAGAAAAGACGTCTTGAGCAGAATGATGAATTGGTGGAGGAGGAAAAGCCTGTCCCGAATGTCATTGTCGTAGAACCGGGCTCCAGTAACTCCAGCAACAGCAGCAGCGCTGGTGATTACCTGCAAGAAGATAGCGAGCACAAGCAAGATGTTGAAATTCCCAGTACAAAGGAAGCGGCAAATGTTGACGTTGATGCCACCGTTGTCTCGGGCGACAATTCTCAACTTCTCGGGTCTGACAGTGCCTGTATTAAAAAGCATGAAGAAAAGGCCAAGAAGAACATACGCAGGGTCAGCTGTGATGGGACGCAGATCGGCGACAACGGAGCCAAGGATAAGAAAAGCTACAAGAAATCCACTGATGCCAACAAATCAAACCTTGGCGATCGTGGAGAGAAAAATGTAGAGATGAAGGACGACGGCGGCGAGGTCAAAAATGGAAAAAACAAGCACGGCAAGGAAAAAATTGTTGAAAAATTGGATGCAGTCGACCCCGCAGCAATGTACCAAACAGCCTCGAAGCTTGGTCTCGAAACTGCTCAAAAAACCGATGATCCGGACGGACACACGACCTCGAAACGCAATTCCACACCTGAGAGTAACCAGAAATCGCAGAAAATTGCTGACAAGAAGAAGACGAAGGATACGCTCACGGCGACTCCGCAAGGCGGTTCCGTGGAGAAATCTGAACCAGCCTCTGCGCTCGGAAACAACCAGGTCGAAACCAGCAGACGTCGATCATCGCGTCGTCTGTCGTCAAATGCAGTTGCAGAACAGAAATCAGAAACGCCGTCGGCACCAGCAAAAAGTTCCTCGAAACAACCAAACGACCCATCACCACGAAACACCAAGCGCACGCCCAGTCCCGGTCAGGATGACCATGACATGAAACCTCGCAACGCGAAGAAGCAACGGCAGGCACTGCTCGAAGTTCAACCCGCGGCAACACGTCCCTCTACTCGACAATCGCGCAATCAAAGCAGCAATCAGCAAGGGACTAAAAATGCACCTTCTTCATCCGAAGAAAAAGCCATTCAAGGGACGAAAACAAATGATAAAAAGGAACAAGACAAGGGAGTGCAAGTGAAAAAGCCTTCAGGGAAGAGGGCTGATGACAAGAAGAAAGCGGATGACAAGAAGAAATCCGAGGACAAGAAGAAATCCGAGGACAAGAAGAAATCCGACGACAAAAAGAAATCTGGCGACAAGAAGAAAGCGCAAGTCAAGAAGGCACCAGAAAAGAAATCCCAAGAAAAGAAAGAGCCTCCAGCCGAGCCCAAACAGCGCCGAGGTCCAGCCAAAACGAAGAAGGCCAAGAAGGAAGATCCATTTGCAGCTTTTGCATTCTTGCCTCGCTACAACCTTCGTCAAGCCCCGAAGCAAAAAACTTGCCTTCAAGTTGACTTCAAGGGCGGCAGGACCTACGAAGAGATAACTCAGGAGGGGAGCCAACACAAACGGAGGCAGGTGATGCAGGACGAACTGGATCCCTTGGCCATCGAAGCGGCAATACTGTGCCTCTCACCCAAGGGAAGGGTTTCCGACGTTCTGACAAAATACGAAGCTGATAAACACGAAGCTGACAAGCGGTCAAAAGAAGCAGATATTGCAGATGAGGCCGATCCTCAGGCAGCGCAGGATTCAGAGCAAGAAAAGGCAAAGTCCAACCGCACGGATTCGGCAGCCTCCAAAGAAGCTATTAGTCCTCCAGTTAGCGAGAACGAAGAGAGAAAAGATGACGAGAACGAAGAGAAAAAGGATGACGACGAGGAAGCGGCAACCAAGGGGCAATCTGAGGGAATCGAAGAAATGCTTCCTCCCCCTCCCCCGATACCACGCGTAGTAGAGCCAGGCGTAGTCACCACATCAGAGGTCATTACCACGACTACGGAGGTGGAAACGACCAACTCTCCGGCGTCCTTGCCTGCGGATACTGCTGTTCCTCCTTTGGATACCATTGTCACGCCAATCACCAAGTTCCCCCGGATTCTTGCGCTCGAATGTGACGAAGATTCCTACTCGGACGAGGACGACGACGACGACGAAGAGTTTTCAGAGGATGATGCAGCGTCCATACAATCTGCCAACGTCTCGAGATCCGAGGCAAAGGAACAAGACGTGGAACCATCTCACCAGCCAAAGGAATCGTCAGAATCCGAGCCACCGGAAAAGAAGAGAAAGGTGACAATCCTTGCTTCCGACAAGAAGGGCGATGGCGAGGACAAGAAGAATAGTAGCGAAACGGCAGCACCCACCGAGAAACCAGTGTCTCTTCCAGAATTCCTCGATTCTCGTCGTCAGGCGAAAAAGGACCCCCGGTTCTCCTTTATTTCGACGTTGTTGTCTACGCGAACACCCCAATCTGCCAAGGATGATATTCTGTCTGCCTACGATGCCTGGCAAGGCTCGCGGGAAAAAGATGCCACGACGCTGTCCGAAGTGGAACAAGCCGAACAAGCTTTACAGCTTGCCAAGGAACGGCATGAACGGCAACAAGCCGCCACGGCCAAGACGCATCAATCGTATCAGTCATTGGTTCAAAAGCACTACCGTCCAGACACACGTACCTTGCGACAGAAGCGTCTTCGTCCTGCGTAGTGGCTGGAGTGGACGCACGTGCCAGGCCGTGGCTGTGAGTGTATTCCTGGCTATGATCGAGGTGTTTGAAGAACAGCATCCAGCAAGGAATGGACCAGTCAGTCGTGAACAAACAACAATCTATCTCTGAAAATGAAACGAAACAAACCACACGAATGATGGGGTGGAACGAACCTTATGAAAACCCACGTCTGATGCGTTGTCTATGGGAGTCTCTATAATATTGCAATGACAACGTACGGTATAATCGAATCGAATCTATTTATTTTTGGTGATATCAGCTGATCAGTTATGATTCGAATCAATGGAAGCAACGTTATTTTGGGGAAGCAATGGTACAGTATGTATATCCTTTCCCTTGACTAATTATTATAAAACGTTGTTTGAAATGGGAAGTACCATTGGTGCTGTCTACTTTTATGTGGCCATGCCGAACCCAACGATTACCACCACCATACAGGCAATCTGCGAGTTGCTTGCAGTGATGTATGTAAACTAAGCAAGCAACACCCAAACAAAAACCAAGGTACTCTAGTACAGTAGTGAGTGCAGCATAGTCGTCTGTCACGTCAAGCTTGAGTGCTTTATTGTAGTCATTGTCAACATTAGCTCCACTCAATTCATTATCATCATGATGGCGAGGAAAACAACACCTTCCCCAATGCCCTACATGTGGCGACCAACTTTCGTACCGTACTGATCCGGACGCGTTCTCGGTTGGCCGTTCCAATTGATCCAAATACCCCCGATAGAGTTCGACAATGATTTGTACCAAGAGGGGTCCCAATCCGGGCAAACATTGCTTCCCTCGCTCGGCTGCTTGCAAGAGTTCTTCGGCGCGATGGGCCACTTGTTGCACGACAGCTTGATATTGGGGGGAGGATTGGCCAGCCAAAATATCGGATTCTAGGACTCCCTTTGCTTGCAGCAAGTCTTGGGGCAAATAGATACGTCCCATGGTACCATCGGGAGTGGCATCTCTCAAAATATTGATGAGTTGAATGGCTTGTCCCAAGGCAATGGCCGGTGCTTGCGCCAGTGTCGTGTTGTTGGCATTTAGTAAAGGCAGTAACATGAGTCCCACAGTTCCAGCGACTTGATAGCCGTATTCTTCCAAGTCGGCCATGGTGGCAATGCGTCGCGGATGGTTGACTGTATCGGCCATCATGCCTGCAATCATGTCGTCAAAGGGTGTGCGATCCAATTGTTGTCGTTGAAGACATTGGTAGAGTGCGGCATCCATGGCATCCACCGGTCGTCCGTCCCACAGTTGGTCCAATCGATCTTGCCACTCTTCCAGTTGTGCTCTTGTAGTAGTATTGGAGTTGTCTGAGTTATCATCAGGTGTATCGACAATTTCATCGAGTCTCCGACACCACGCATAGAGAGCGGCCGCATCGGCTGCCGTCTGTGGATCCAACAGACGAGACACGTAGAGTAAAATGGGATCGTGTTGCGCCATGAGCTCTTGAATCTCGTCATGAATGCTGCTACTACTGCTGGATGTTGTTGAAGATTGATGTAACCGTGACGAGGTGGCACGCAACAATAACGGGGGTTGAAGCAGAAGAAAGCCATTCACACTACTAGTCCACAATATTATTAATAGAGCCAACAACAACAAATGATAATAAGCTGGTACGAAGAGCCTCCATGGTCGACTGTTGTGCCAATGATGGTTCTTCCACATTATTATTCTCGAGACTGTCAAATAGAAGGACAACTCCAACTCCCAAGCAAGGATTGGTTTGATTGATTGATTGGTGGATGGATGGATCATGGATCCATCGACAATGTTGATGCCAAAGATATCACATTCATATGCCTCCTGGCTCGTCTCCGTTTCCATAAATCTTTTATTACCAACACCTAACTCGCTTTATTGAAACAGTATTCGCGCGCTCCGCGCGCTCATCCCTTTCTCTGCTTCGCCCCGAAACGGATCCCTCATTCATGCGAAAAATGTGAAGAACGGCGAAACGGATCCCTCATTCATGCGAAAAATGTGAAGAACGCAAGGCGACTTTCATGTGCATGTACATGCGTTGACTGTATCCCGTCAATACAATACTAGTCGAATATGTAGACTTCTACAGAGGCCTCTAAGTAATGCACGCGGGGTATAATTCAAACCTCCACTCCCCATCGGTACCCTTACCCCTAAAAGCAAATCGTCTCCGGGAGACGAAATTAGGGTTAACGAACGATGCTACGCTTTTGACGTGTTTCCTGGTCATTTATTTTTCGAGCTCGTGCCCAAGCCCGCATTGGAATTCACAGGAACGGAACTCGAGCCAGTGAGGCAGGTGTCCGTTTGGTAAATCGATAACCAGTGCGCTCCCGGTTACTTATGACTGGAGGAACAGCTGAAGAAGCCATAACTTGCGGGTAATTTTCGGCCTCCTCCATGGTTTACCGACACGTACCGGTAGTGCCGGTACCGTACAGTACAGTACTGCGGCGGTACTGGCTTTTGGCTAGACTAGTTAGTTTGTATCATCACACCCCTCCGTCCCCACGCTGTACAGCGGATGCTGGGACTATGTTGGTTTTGCTAGCTAGTTGGATGTGCTGCATTGGTTATTGGAGTACTAGCTAGCTAGTATCAGTTAGTTTTTATGACGATTAGATTAGTAAGTTACAGTGTAGGTACAGTTCTATAAGGTGAGGTGGGATGGCCAGGGCAGTCAGTTAGCCAGAAACCTGAAATTTGGCTCGGTTGCTTTTGCTTGGTGGTTTGCTTCGTTTCGCTTTTTGTTTTGGGAACAATTATTTGCTTTCGAAGTCGTGAGCATTAGGTGGGTAGCCAGATAGTTTTTTTTTAAAAAGTGGCACTTGTCAGACTAGGAAAATAAATCCTTGGAGGAGTGGAGATGGAGTTTTTAGAGGAAGCAGTGAAGGTTCATTCAGGTTCGTGTCGGTACGTAGTGCCTGGCATGGTCTCCTTGATGAGTAGAGATTTGACCTGGTATCATATCATATCATTCCAAAAAGTTCTTATTAGAGAGAGGAGAAATAGGAAATGGAGGAGAACTTCTTTTTGGTGGACACGGCCAATACCGTAGTGGGTAAGCTTGTAGAGACGGACTTGCTGTTATACCATACTGTCCAGTTTCTTGAGTTGTTGCTGCTGTTGCGGTTGTGAAGCAATCATGGCCGCGGCTTGCATCAAGTGGACTTGCCACAAGACGGTCCATCCCAAGGAAATGGTCAAGTAAAAAACGACATGAAAGACCGCCATGGCGGGTGCTTGAGTGATAATGTCAGCAATGATAGCGGAAACTCCGGTGCCAGAAATGACACCTTGGCCAAAGTATTGTTGACGGAGTCTCTTCTTTTGTTGCAACTCATTATTGAGATTGAGGTTGCTAACACACTCGCCTGCGCCATGGAACGTCCATTGGAACCATTCGTACACTTCCAACAGCAGAGCGGGTAGCACCACCAAACACAACACCCATCGGTACGATGTCAAACCAATGGCTGACAGTCCTCCACTCACAATGCCAATGGCAAATTGTTCCGTCGTGCCAAGGCGGAGTGGAGCCTTGGGGGTCATGGCGGTATTAGCCGTGATCATGGCGGGGGAAGCAGTCGGGGTAGTAGTGGGCAGAGACATGGCAAAGTTTCTATCTATTCTATTGCGACTAACAGTTACTGGAGTGGAGTTGCTTGTAAAGTGAAGGGAAGTGATCTGCTGAGAAAATAAATTGTGAGGCCTACCAATCAATTCATAATAACAACACGGACAGTGGTGAAAGAGAGCAAAGCAAAGCAAAAACTAAATGGCAGAGTTTTGACCAGACTGACCCAAAGGCCGAAGGAAAGGCTTAGAATGCAAATGACAAAACGCGGGGTACATGTACTTAATTGTCGTGTCTACCGCGGTATTAATGAAAGAGTAGAATGACCCTCGTGCTATTCCACTTGCTTCCATTTCCCAAAGGAGGAGGTCACGCCTGTGACATCTGGTCATGGGGGTGCTCCTCTAAGTCATTAAGTTTTTTCCCGGTATTGTCGGTTCCTAATCTTGACTGTTGATTAACAGGCAAAAATGACCGATTTTGCTGTGTTGCTTGGTCGATTATCGTTAGTCATATATATATATTATGTACACGAGAGAGGTAGAGTGGACCATTTCGATCCTTTCACGTTGTAAAAAAGGTTAATCAGATGATCTGCCACCACTATTTACTATTCTCACACTCTTAACAGATTTATTGGGCGGATATAAGGGTGGTCTTTTGGTTGTTGCTTTGGTCATAACAGCTGTTAAAGCAGCGTGTGCATCCAGTTCCAATGAGACTCCCCTCGTACGATATTCATCTGTCTCGGTTGGCAAGAACACCTGTAAGAACTTAGATAAAGTACTCAGAAACAGCTGGAGCAGCCATTTCCAAAGGAGTCTCCCTGAATTATGATCATGTATCGTAAGATTTATCAAGAATGCACTTTGGTCGTATTCCGCGATCATTTCTGGTATCCACGAATGAGTTGGCTCTCATTCAATTTTATTTCACATGGTTCTGTTCATGGTTTGTTGCTGTGTTGCCGGTTGGAGGAGCTGTTGCCAGTGGTAGGGGCGGTGGTTGCTTTTGTCGTGGCTCTTTCGCTCTTTCCCATTGAGAGAAAGCCTCTACAGCCCGCCGACACAAAATAGATCGTACCTTCAATATGTTTTGGTATATACCTGTAGCAGGTACAAGGAGCTGCACAAGACAGCTCGTTGATACTGCCTACTAGTACTCTTATTAGTTGTCTACCGATAGATAGCAAAGGGTGCTGCCTTCCTTTCTGTGCTGCCTGCTCCATGCGAACGTTCAAGGCAATCCCAACCTGAATTCCAACTACTCTTTCCCACTCTTTGCCCAAGCCAGAAAGCTCTTCTTTTCTTGCGTTCTCTGGCTTCTCTAGTAGGTCTTACTCTCCACCATGGTCTTTGCTGGCTCTATTGCCAGCTTCTTCTTCTTTTACGCGGTGGCTCAGCGACGAGTCACTGGAGTCCAGCTGTGCATGTCTTCCAGCGAGCCAAGAGCAACTCCAGGGAGCCCTCCCAATCCAGCTAATTTTACCGGTACACGCAGGCTGTTTTTTCGGCTCGTTGGTTCTATCTCCAGTGCACATGGTATCCTGTAGATAGCTATGGTAGCCGCTTTCTTCAGCGCCCAGTAGAATGTCACGACGTCTCGACTACTTTCTATCAATCGAGAGAAGGAGGCGATTGTACTGCGGAAACTTGGTGGAGGAATGTTCTGGTTGTTGCAATTTTCACCAGAGCCTCAGCAAGCCAAGAAAAGCAGGCAGCTGACACCTCCTGCAAGAAGTACATGTGAGGTTGGCTGTTAGGTAGGGTAAACCTTAAACCGAGCAAATATAATATCTTGCCGCAATGACAGAGTGAACTGCACAACCCATTACATGCTCACTCCAGCCCCCGCCTGATCTTGGTAAAGAGAATGGCTCCCACACCACCGTAAAACTTCAATCTATCACTCATTGAGGGTACTGTACATGTAGCCCACCATACTGGCTCCATGGTGCCCGCGCGCCCCCCAGACCTGAAACATTGCGCACCAAAATCAACCCCTGCATGCTGTAGCTAGCTAGTATCGCTCTTGAGCCTCACAGTGTACCCTACATGCCAGCTAGCACACTCGTTGCAAGCAACTGCTAGCACCCAGCTTCTTGCACGAAGGATACGAGCAGCTTCGATTTTATTGATGCAAACGCGTGCCGAACTCTCTGGTACACTTCTACTCGAGCTCTCGTAGAAGTGTACGAGAAAACCTGGCACGCGTTTGAATCTTTAAAACCGAAGCTGCCTGTACTATAGAAACGAATCAACCACAGCAACGCGAGGCCTTTGACAGCCAGCACGCCCATTGAAGCAAGTGGGGTCAGAACTGATGTCTTGCCAGCCACAGCAGTCATCCAGGACTTTGGCGGAGGAAACTACCAGTACCGATATCCATCACAACAGCCGCTGCCAGTGACACCACGAACTATAATTAAAGAGGATCAAAGGATAGAATGCATGTTGGACCCAACTGTATGCGCTAGTTAGAGGGGTCCGTTCCCATGGGAGCTACTTCGTCTACCCCACAAGGGCAGCCACAGCCACAAAGTGACCCAGAGCGGTCAAAAGACAACCCATGGGGACCTTCACATGGGTCAACAAAAGTGCCAATGCAGGTGCCATTCATGTTGCAAACTCCTGCTGGTATGGACCCCGATAATTTTTGGTTTCCTTCAAGCTTCAAAGTGTGGAGGGTGTTTTGCAGATCTGACAGCTCCTGAGGCACAGTCCCAGAAAGGGAGTTGTTGGAAAATGTCAGCTGACCCATGGACTGGAGCTGGCCAAACTCACTGGGAATCTGCCCAGTGAGCTTGTTGCTCATGAGTTCTAGCTCCATCAGACCTGACAAGAGCCCAAGCTCTGATGGAATGGCTCCAGAGAGTTCATTATTCCGCAGATTGAGGGTCACAGCCAAGTTTGTGAGGAGACCAAGTTCACTTGGCACTGGACCTGAAAAGAGATTATCTCTCAAGGCAACCAAAGAAAGAGATCGGATTCCCCCCAACAGTGTGGGCAGGGGTCCTTCTAGCATGTTTTGATATAGGGAAAGGAGCCGCAGATTCGACAACTTGCTGACCTCACTAGGGAGACGTCCGGACAAATGGTTCATGTACAAAACCATCCATTCAAGGGAAGTGGTAAGACCAATCTCTTTGGGAATGGAACCTAGGAAGAGAAAAAGTGCCAAACCAGGTTAGAGCCAAAACAGCTGCAGGCCCACAACATCATACAGTACGCACCAGAGAGGTCTGCTTCATCCAAAAGAAGCCATCGTAAGTTTGCAACAGAACCAATTATGGATGGAATAGTCCCTTGCAGCTCTGGGTTGCGGCTCAAAATCAATGTGCTCAAATTTGAAAGCTGCCAGAGTTCTGATGGAATTGATCCCTTATGATTGTTGTCATTCAAAGCTAGCACTCTCAAATCTGCGAGCAAGCCAATTTCAGATGGGATTGATCCTGCATTCTGAAGATAGCTTATTGCTGCCCCCTCTAATGAGCTGAGTTGTCCAATGAGACTGGAGATGGTGCCCTGCATTTGGTTGGATGAAAAGGACATTGTCTTCAGGGATGTCAGCAGGTAGAGCTCCTCTGGCAAGGTGCCACCCAGATTGTTTTGATCCAACCACAGGTGTTCATAGAGTCCCTCATGATTACAAGCTGTTGGTTGGAGCTCAGTGGGAGGATAGAAATCTGATAGATAGCCAGTAAACAATTGAGATAGGACATCTTTTCTTGCAAAGCTTGGCTTGTTGAACCAGGTGCATTCATGGATACTGTGATCAAGCCAGTTTGTATCATCGTTCCAGCTGTAACCGCCTGTGGCATGATACAGAGTGGCAAGGACAAATCTCTGCATGATCCTCTCATATGGAAGGTTTGGCAAATTACTGTAGTCCTCCATGAGCCAATCGAATGCCATTGCTTGGGGCGACTCTGGCTCCTCCGAGATCTTGAAGGTCGTCTCCGGTGGAAGCAATTTGAACATGTAGTCACTTGCTGATGTAGGAGCTTGAGTCGGGGTGCTGCTAGCCATTTCAGCTGGTGCAAAATCCGCCATATACTCCTTTTGAGCTGAGATCAGAACGGCAATGAAAATGAAGACAATTACAATTATCAGAATAGCCCCAAGAAGGAGAGTGGTTTTGCAACGCTTTGAAACATGGTTTTGTCTCTCGTTGGAGGTACCAGCATTGGCAATGGTGCCTTCAATATGTGGTCTGGCAGTCTGGAGATCACAATCTTCCAAAACCAAATTGGCTACAGCCAAGCAGTTATTGCTGTGGACTTCTATAGACATGGAACTGGTAGTGGAGGCTTCATGACCAGAGCTGGCGCCATCTTCTATGGACGCACCCGGTCCCTCCTCAATTGGCGCACTGGGTCCATCTTCTATGGACGCACTGGGTCCATCTTCTTCTATGGACGCCCTGGTTCCACCAAGGGGAAAGGCACCCGGCTGCACGTTGTACATCCTCGCAACATTAATGCCACGGGCTAGGGTTGATGGAGGTTCACAGCCATCTTCGATTTCTGGCGATTGCTCAATCACGTAGGCTTCCTCGTTGGGCTGGGCATCTTCAGTTGGGCCGCGGGAGGAAGAAACGCTAAGGCGCTTGGCTGGCGGAAGCACGGAATCAGATTGTGAGGGTGTTGAGCTCGTGTAATTGAAAGCTCCCACAGCCTGGTGGTACCCTTCCTTCGTCTTCACAAGTTTGATTTTACCGAATTCTCCGGCTTCCAAGTCCGCTTCTTCTTCTTCTTGTTTTGTATCCACGGTCTGGGCGGATTCATCCAATGGTGCCGTTGTTTCTGTGGGTTCGACAGTTTCCTCTTCGAATGATGATGTGCTCAAAATCTCAGGCTTCTTGTCTTTCTCGTTCGTCGTCATGACTTTTTGGTTCAGCAAAGTAAACAATAAGATAGGCAATGAAATCTGAACGTGTTGTATTATTGTGAGCTTTCCTTTGAGCTTTTGGGCCAATCGGATTGAGAGGAAGACGAATGAAAAACCTTTCATGAAGAGCCCACAAAGAGAACAAAGCATCACGTTGCGGAATGAAGGTTAAGTACTTACCTACCCTTGTTCACGCGGAACGATATATTTTAATTATGGGAGGTGTTTTCGAAGAATTGAGGGTAGCTTGATCTCATATCAATGCTTCAAATAATGTGCTTTAGGAGGGCTTGGACAGTACTTCTCCTTCAATCTTGCAGGTACCAGCAGGATCTTTTCGCGCCAATGCTTGGACGCAGCACGCAGCAGTCTTTGATCAGCCCAACCTTGGTGCCGGTGGCTCTCTTGTACGCCGCGTACCCCTTTGTTCGGAGCATGCAACTTCATGGGTGCACAATGGAAGCTTATTTAATTTTTAGAAAGCAACCTGACACGTTTTCAATCCCTACCGGTATTACTCTATCTAGAGCCAGCAAGCCAATGGCTCCCAACTCCTCTCCCAAAGCAACCGCGACAACCGTGAACCTCATTGCTGTTTGCACGGCATACAGCAAAAAATGTGCTTACCGGTAGCACCTTGGTACCAGTAGCGAGTTCTTGAATGATCCAATCTGCTTGTCGCCCGAGGTGTGCTTACCGGTATCAGCAGAGCGGATCGAAGAGTGGCAGTCCAAGTTTCTTGACAGAAGCGGGGGCGCTCCAATCCATCTTTATCCCGACGTCAGACTCGACTCATGCGCTCGTACTAGCAACAGTGCTTCGCACATTGCAAGAAGAGGAGTTACTTTACATTCATGGATGGCATGGTTCAGCCAGTCATTGTTGACTGCCCACTTGGTTCCATCTGTGGAATAAAGCTGGTTGCCAAACAAACGTTTGAATAACACGCACATCAGGAAGGTCCATCAAAGTGTCACTGTCTTCCATCAGTCAATCAAAATCCTGTGACTAAGGTGACTCTACGTCTTCCGATATTTTCGTGGTTGGCAGGAGTGAGAATAGAATAGGTGAAGCATGCGGGTGGTGCTTCAGATGGGGCCACTACCGGTACTTGGGGCACCAGTTGGAGAAGTAGCTAGCTAACGTATGCCCCTTCCGTTGACGTCCGTGTGCCCCCAATAGCCACCAAGACTATTGTGAAGGCTACATGGCTACCATCAAGATGACCAAGGAATTTGTTTCATAGCTTTGATTCTTGCTCTTCGTCTTCGTCCACGCTTGCGGCTTCCAGGTTGCTTCCAGTGTGTGGCCAAGCTCTTGGCACATCAGCATCTTCAAACAATTGGCCACTGCCAAGCCCTGGCCTTCCTCTTCCTCTTTAGTATTGCACTCTTCGTGGCAATTTGATCCTGATTCGATTGAAATCATCTATCCGATTGAGAGCAGCTACGAACCGCAAGTGGCAACCATGCCATAATCTCCGATGGATCATTCATGAGCGCACCTCGTGCTCGTAGCCTGCCAATAGCTTGTGATTCTCAAGACGGGCTTCGTACAGCAAAAGACTCTGCAGTGGTTTGCCCCCACAAGCTATACTGGTACCGGTAGCAGACGGGCAAGTGATACCATGCATGCAGAACGAGAAACGTGGGTGAGGCGATTCAACCACCGCAGGGCGAGGTTCGTTGTGTAGGCCGCTCGACGTTGCTTTACACTAATATTCCTAACGCGAAAGCGAAGATTGTAATAAGGCATTCACCTCCATGCAACGCGAAAGCTTTCCTTCTGACGGTGGGCTGGTGCACTGGCAGAAGAATCAATTAACAGTGACGAAGACTCCTGATCCCATTTTTCATAGTTTGCGCTGTTTTGCCAATCGATCAAAAAGTCGATGATATCCTTATCGTTCCCTAAATGACGAGGATGTCGCTACGGGGACAGCGTGGAAAGCTCTGCCTGGGAATTGGAGCAATTATTCACGGGCAGAGTACCACACCAACTGGTCCATCTTCTTGGACAGTTCTGGTACGGGTACATCTACCGGTACCTAGCTATACTAAGCTTCCACCTCCTTGACATATAACAAATGAATTGTAGCCTCGGGCAGCTTCTCTCGCAAGCCCTCGAGAGCGTGCTTGACCGCTTTTTGATCGTTCTCGGACGACGTAGGTGCATCCACTACTTCAAACTTGGTGTCGGGTAGGAAAATCACTTCCATTTCTTCGGGTCTCGCACTAAATTTGGAGATGGATTTACCACTCTGAGACGACAACATACAAATCAGCGTTCGTTGATTTTGGTTGCTGCCGTCGGCTGCTACTTGGGTACAAAACTCGAGCGCATTGTCCCGATCCAAAGTGGCACTGGCAAAGCCTTCCAACACAAATGTGGATCCAACATTTCTTGGCAAGGGTCGTTTGTGTCCTCTCCACACCCGTTGTCCATCCGATGGTAACTTGGAGAGCGCAGCCTTTAAAATTTGAATGTACGGTAGGACGTCCTCTTTGGTCAGCGTAAACGTTACCTTGGAAAGATCTTGTGGCAACAAGGGATAATCCTCAAATTCCACTATTTCCAGTCCCCTCGCAATGGGATTCACCATTCGATAATCTCCCGTGGTCCATCCATACAGTGCTGCTACTTCGTGGTCTGTCAAGCCTCGGCTTTGTCCTACCTCCAACACGGACGGAAACCCCTTGGATGCCGCTTTGGAGCGATTGTGCTGGTAGACCATTCGAGGAGGGATTTGGAGAGACGTTGCTCCATTCTTCCACTTGTTCAGTGATTCAAAGGCTTCGATAGTAGCAGTAGTAGTAGGTAGTGTCGTTGATGTGACAGAGCTGCTGCTGCATGTAGCTACGGTATCCGTCATGGCGATCTTTCAAGGTTGCTACCAGTAATACTGTGGTGGTGGTGCTAGGCCGGCATCGCCCAATCGCCAGTCGCAGTCTTCAACAAACCTGCAATAAACATGCAACATTATGGATCTGAGGCAAGGAGCCGGCATCTAGCTAGACTAGTTGTTTTTTATTTAAGAGACGCATCCGTCATCATTACGCTGGCTGGCTACAGTACTATTAATAGCTAGCTAGTACATGTACCGGTACGAGATTTAACCGTATTTCGGCGACAATTTCTGGTTTACTGGTAAAAAAGGCGCTAAAAGGTCAGAAGTTGATACCCCGAAATTGCAGAATTAGGGGCAAGCAAAGGGCGCCACCACCTTACCCAGCGACTCACCTTGTTATTACGTGTCTATAGCCTAACCTGGCTGTCTGGTGGCCAACAAAGATCTCCCAAGATAATAGGAAAGCTGTCATGCTATTGAAGTGATGCTCTTGTTAAGGATAGAGCACCAGTTTTGCCTGCCTCTGTTTTGTCACTGCTGTCACTGCTATCACGATTGCCACCGGCCGCCACAACTCCACCAAATGCCATTGTCGTTATCAGTCCTTCCACACTCCGAAGAACTGCGTTCGTTCGATGCCGTCATTCCCTTCACTGTTGCCAGAGCTTCAGTTTGCATCTTCAGCCTCTGTCTTCCAAGGAGAGTGTCATCCACGGACAGGTTATCGATCTTGTGTTTCAGTCGCTGGAGCTCTGCATCTTCTTCGGCTGTCCACCTTCGAACTGGAGGAACCATGGTGTCCTTGACCTCGGCCCACTTTTCCTGCCTTTGGGCGGCTGTTGATATCTTGGAAGGACATGACCGACCAAGCTTCCACGAGATGAGGGTCTTGAGTTGTCCACTATTCCAGGCAGAGCGTCCTCCTTCCAACAGTCGAAAAGCTGCGTCCTCCCTTTCAGCGGCTTCGATTTTCTTTTTCTTTTGGGCCTCCAAGCTCTCCAGATCAGACTTGGTGGCGGCTCTTGTGAGCGAAATGAAGTAATCATCTTCATTCAAAGCCGCCCCACCAGTCAGTTGAAAGTACTTTCCCCCACCAACCTTTACCTTGGCAATTGCATCTTGCCTCTCTCTTGTCCTTGGCTTGAGGATCGCTTCTTGCCTTGTTTTGCTGCTGAAAGATGTTAGCTTTATCTGGAGAGGCTTGGAGTTGTAGCCAGCGCCATCCAGAATAGTACAAACCATCGAATTGAGGTCATTGAGAGACTTGAGATAAGCGGACTCCGGATCTGCTGCAGCGTCAACGTTGCCATCCCCATCAACAACTTGCTCGTGACGGATATGCTTGCTCTGAGAGCTGCTCTTGTAAACTTTGGGAAGACGCCAAGCTTGTTGGCCCAGCAGTGCCAGATCTTGTCCGCTGAAAAGGCTGCCTCGGCAGCATTGTTCAGCAGTGGAAGATTTGGGTCCTCCGTCGCTTGGTGCTGTGCTCACTTCCAAAGACAAGAAGTCCAATATCCATCCGCGTCAAGGTTGAACTGATCGCATGGTGGTTTAATCGATACTCCCAGAGCACTTCCAAATTGCCAAAGTATTTAGTTTTGAATAACAAATAGTATTCCATTATCTGCAAGACATGGTTGTGCTTGGAGGACCGGGACGGGTAAAGAGATAGATACCCAACTGTCGAAGCTGGGCCAACAGGTCTTCGTTGGTCCTGCCTGGCCCACCATCCACAAGCATACAGACTCGCTTGCCAAGAGTGTCTCGCACAGCCAATCAGCAACAAAGATAAAAATTCCACTGTATTCTCCGACTGTTCCTGTTCATGCCGCCTTTCTCATTGACGCTATACGTACGCAAGAAACTCCTTTGGTTGGTCACCAAGAATGTTGCCCTGTTATCACATGTCTTCAATGAATCAAGAGGAATGCATTGATTCTCCTCTTTTGCGTCACTTGGAATCTGGAAATGGAATGGAAAGCATTCTCCTGATGCGAAGCAGTCCCAGCAACGAGAGTGGCACTTGTAAGCTGCTCTTGCTGGGATGACGGCTTGCTCTCTGTCGAGAATAAGCTGTCTTGAATAAGAAGCGTAAGGACTGGACGACCGCCTTCTAGCCACCTTGTTTGTGTCATCACAACGTAGATTAAAGCGCGTTGACTCGTCCATGTCTTGGCGATCCAATTAAATAATCCTCCGTTGCCCCTCAGAAAGAAGGAGATTTCTCACTCGCGCCAGAGCGCGCGGCGCCCTATAAGGCGTGGCGAGCGGACCCCCCAAGGGATTCAACGGCGACATTCAGACGTCTGGGACGTGCTCTGCGAAATCCATAAATCCACCAAGAAGTCCTTTCAAAGAACAACTGAACGCACTTGGTCGATATTGCTGTAAGTCGTCCACTGTGGCGCCTTATCGTTGGTTCAATTTCGACTATTGTTTCCAAGTTGTCCAACTCATGAGCGAAACGTCTCGTTTAATCTCGCTCGTATCCTCTCGTACAGCTTTCGCCCTGATCTTTTGTTCGGCCCTTCTTTGCTATAATGACAACTGCATTGGTCCTCCTAGCAAGGCCAGGCTTTAGATTCGATACTTTCGTGGCTTCTTGTTGTGACAGAATTGCAAAAGTCTTGACAGCATTGCACAACGCTTGATACTCGGATTCCGGTATTCTTCCTTTTGGTCCCCGTCTTTGCAGACCACCAGATCTGCCGTCTCTGACATGCTCTCGAACCGTTCTTGCTGCGATCCTTTTATCCAAAGCATCATGGTATTCTGCGTTTATTTCCATGCAGATGTCCTCGGCGGATTTGACTTTGTACACTTTCCCTTCGGCTGTCGCAGAAGCCTTCTTGTCACATTCTGCCTTCCAGAGGGTGCACGCCTTTGTGAAGAGCTGTTGGTGGAGAGCTTTTTGTTCTGCTTGTTGTTTCTTTGCCAAATGGCCGATGAGAAGGAGTCCTCATCCCTCGCTGGAGGCTTGGGGCTCCAGCGGCGACCTGCTGGGGGCACAACGGTGCCAAGATAAGGAGCGGGGAGCAGCTGCTGCCGGCGCTGCACAACACCCTGCTTCTGGTGTATTAATGTCCATCTCTTTGCTCTATAGATTGCTCGCATTGAGGCTTGATCTTCCGATGCATCATCAGTGTAAACCGGCGAACCACATGGCATCATTCACATTATCTCGCATTTCCTTTCTTCGACAGTTTGAGGAACATTGCAGCGCGCTCTACTTGTCGTCGTTCTTCCTCCCTTTACCATGATCTTCTCCTTTATACGCTTTGCGGCTGTGTTTCTTGGTTCTTGCCATCGTTGTTGCGTTCTTTCAGTCGCGGGATATGTTGTGTCGACTTTTGTGGTTGCTCTTGGACGAAATTGTCAAAAGAGGTTTTGTCTGGGAAGTCGTCAGGCGCTCTTTAAGTACGAAACTTCACGTTAAATCCAAATCGTTTTCACTCTAAATAATTTTGTCCTACACGACGTGTTGCTGATGTGGCAAAATAAGCCAGCTCGTGTTGGTGGCAGTTTGTGGTGGGAGATGACAAGTGCAATAAGGCGACAAGTGCAATATGGCGACAAGTCGAAAGTGCGAAAGCTGCCTCTAGATGTGTTACGATTACGATGTACAGCTGTGGAGTACGATGTAATTGGTAGCATTGAAACATAGCTATCATTTATTATAATCCATATGCTGTACGTGCTATTGTCACTCTGTTGGCCCCTCCAATACAGCCAGTTGCTCCGTGGTCCGGATCTCAAGCTTGACGGAGGCTCTCCTTAACAACATCAAATGCATGTGCTAAAGCTTGGCCAAACAGCACGGCGCTTCCATTCTCTCCGTCGTATGGCAATGTAATCATGACAGTGTCCCATCCATCCTTGGTCGAGGAGACGGAAATCTTCAATCTGTAGGCACGCAGACCAGAGTTTGCTGACTTGACTTTCCTTGGTTGGTCTAGAATCCAGGTACAATCCGAAGGAAGGCAAATGGAAGCGATGTTACGAGTACGGGCTTGATCCATGACTGTAATACGAAAGAGGGGAGTGTAAGCATATTGCTCAAGATTGACCGGGCCAACAGAAGGAGAGCAGACATCACGGCCTGCCAAAACAAGAGCAACAGTCCCAAGAGATGATGTCTCGACGCCGATTTCGGTGCCTGATGTAGTAGCGAGACATCTCCAGCTAAAGGGCATGATTGTTGATTTGTGAGGAGTGTTCCCTTGTCGTCTTGTTCCATCCCACGGGCAGCTCGGCGATTTGATTCAGATTCAAATTCAAACCAAACCAAGGTTTTGAGGCGAATCCAATGCTGCCAAATTCAAATCCAATGCTGCAACATCCAACGTGACAGCAGTTCTCCTTGCCACAACCTGCCGTCCATCGACTTGAACAGCACAGGAAACAATAATTTCCCATCTTAACCATGAAGATCACCATGCCGAGCAAGCGTCCAGCTTTTGGGGACACCCAAAACTATTCGAGCAGCGACTTGCATGTCACTATGATGGATGTGCCCAAGAAGACTCCGGTTCTTTCTTGCCTTGCCTGGAGGCTCAAGCCTCTCAAGCCAGCCTCTCAGAGGAGGCTTCAGGATGGAGTGGAGCTGGCCGTCGAAGACTTGGCAAACAATCGAGATGTGACAATCTTTGTGACTCTCCCGGGCTTTGTCTATTGGCCAAAGGAGATGTTTGTTGATTTCGTTGGCTACAGCCAATTCCGTGGAGACGTGGAGCGCCTTTGCACTGCAACTTCCGATTGTATTGTCCTGCTCACGACCACCGGCACTGTTGTCACCATCCGCATCTACGGAAATGACAAAGCAATGACTGCCACCAAGGAAGACCAGAATGAGTCTTTCGATTCCTTTGAAGAGGAGGAAGGCCTCACTCAAGACATTCTGCCCGCTTTGAAGATGACTCCCAAGAAGAAGCCCGCCAGCAAGAAGCGTGGGCTCAACTGAGCCGCTATATCCAGCGGTGGAAGAGCCGCCATGGTCGACTATTTTCGAAGAAGAATGGTGGCGCCGAAAGAAGTATCCTGTCAGTCCCATGGAATCGTGATAGGATAGATTTAATAATAAATTATAGCGTGAATCAATGTGTTAAATATCTAGTCGTGACGCTACCCAGTAGACATAAAGGAAAATATTTTACAGTGAAACAGTAGGATGACATCTTCTTGCGAAAAAAGGGGTAAATCTCGTACCGGTACCGTACCGGCACAGCGTACATGTATGGGTGCCGCTCTGCCCTTCACTGTTGATCCAGGCTGGATGCCTAGCTAGCTAGTGAAGAATTGGTAGTTAAAGTCTGTTAATAACAATTATGAGCTGCTAGAATCTAGCTGGGTGTCCCATACTGGATCACACAGGGCCAGCATGGGAGTGCCAACTCTAACAGCTTCTAACGGTTTCTGGCTCCTATGAGGAGTCCTGCACGCAGGGGGAGCCAGAGGCTGGGCTTGCTGCTATCATTAAAGTGGTTGTGATGTGGCCTGGGACCTAAAGACTTAAGGGTCCCTAGTGCCAGATCAACATTCACATCCCAAGCATCGATTAGCAGCCAGCAAAAAAGGGTCTGTCTTCCCAAGTCAGTCAGGCTGCGGCTTAGAATGTGGTGGCTGCAAGCCTTGGGGTCTTTGCTGAGACCTGAAACAGGGTGGTCGCTCCTCTAGCTCCTGGCTAGTCTACGCTGCCTGCATGCAAGCCCCTGTCAAAGCACCTTACGCCATTTCTTCAGTTGCCACCTCCCTCTCTACCAGCAAGGAAGGGAATAGTATCCCAGAAGAAATGTTTAAGTGCTCGTGGCTGTGTAGGGCAACTCGAGAACCACCTCAAGCTCACAGCCAACCAGCCAATCGTCAAAGTCTTCTGCTGTCATTGCTGAGGCAGCTGGCTGCTAATAGTCATCATACTTTCGCAACAATACTGGGGCAACAGCCATGGTTTGCGAATGACCACTCGGACTACCGGTAGTACCAGTACAGAGGCTGATCTTGCTTACCGGTACAGTCGCGCGCACCTCTCTCCTCATGATATCCAATCTCATACGGTACAAACAGTCGTATCGGTACCAGGTACCTACCGCTACCATACGGTACAGCAAAGGTGCAGGAGCTTGCAGTGGCGACCGACCACTTTATGGCTGCCAGCCAAGAGCAAATTTTTGTGTCTGCTGCAGAATGGCTATACAGTCGTACCCAGCCAGCCACACTCGACTCGGGTCATGGCCATAGCAAGCAAGAACCACCGCCGCCCAGCCCTTCCATGGATCAATCTGCAAACATCAAAGTTTGCCTTCTGCTGCCATTCAAGTTGCACAGGCAGGTGGCTGGTCGGTCTCGATGGGTTATTCTTCCAATAGCCATCGTGCTCTCGTAACGCACGCTCAGGCTGGGGCGCAACAGCCATGAATTGCAGATGGGAGCTTGACTAGCTACTCCTTTAGAATTCCTTCAGTATGTTTTGAGTCCATGCAAGGAACTTCCTGATGAAGTTCTTCTGAGTACCTGGTACCGTACCGGTGCATTTTGAGATCCAATCTCGGTAAGTCGCACCGCACCGGTACGCCGTACCGTACCATACTTACGCTGGAAAATGCCACACGTACATGTTACTCCAATGACTTCTGTTTGAACTGGCAGAAGCAGGTGTTAATTGATTCTTGAGGCCAGAGCCTGTTCGCTTATGTCTTTCCACTGACATGTACTCGAAGAACGTGCCCCTGATTGTCATTTATTTGTCCTCCAAGAGAAGTCCCTTGCCTTTTAGATCTCATTTCCCTTGGTTAAGTGGCAGGGTGGAGACTTTTAAGTAAGCGTGTTGCAACTTAAAATTGTACAATTTAAAAAACCGGACATAATTGATTCATAATGCCAGTGCCAGTTCTCTCTCTCAAATTCCTCTTCAAAGCGTTGCACACCCGCTTTCCCACAGTAGCTACCTGGTACACAAAATCCATAGAGACGGCTTCGCTTGGCAACCACTTTAAAACTTCTGTTTAGTTAGGGCATTCTCTAATAGATTTGTTCGTCCTAAAACTCGTTCTAACTCTAGTTTAGAACAAAGCTTTAGGACGAAAGCAATCTCTAACTCCAACTCGTCCTAAAAATTCGTCCTAAATTTAGGACGAGTTTTTTTTCCTCGTCCTATTTTGCTTAAATAGGACGAGTTTTCGAACTCGTTCTAAAACGCGTCCTAACGATTCCCTTAAATCCTTGAGTGTCCTTTATGACATCAGCGATCGACGGGATTGAGTTAACACGATTCAACTCACACCTCGCACCCCTGTGGTGACTCGCACCGATACTCACACCGATACTCGCACCAAGATAACAAACTTCAACAAGATAACAAACATCAACAGGTACCGGTACACCACAGAGGTGCTTAGTGGGAAGCTCCTAGCCACACTATCAGGACCACTTTAATAGGCAGTTAGAAGATAGGTGCATGTTGGACGTTCCAAACCAAAACGACTTTTTTTAGAGATTGCCACTCGTCTTAAGCACTCTAGTCTTAACCAAGTCGATTTTTAGAACGACTTTTTTAGAGATTGCCAGTTCGTCCTACAAACTCGTCCTAACTTACTCGTCCTAAAGTTAGAACGAGTTTTTAGGACGAGACTACTAGAGAATGCCCTTAGTTGTCTTCGCTTTGCAGGCTAGTTAACCATCACAATGACACAACTACAAAAAGAACCACTTCTTCCTCTCTGCATCCACCACGAAGCAGCTCCTACACAATGTCATGCATCTGACAACGACGACGACGACGACATGCAGCTACAAGTACCTCTGATTCCCTCCAAGACCGTCCCGGACACGGCAGACAAGCCTGAGGAATGCTTGGCGTTCAGTGAAGAGTTCCTTATTGGCTGCATCAGCGGGATTGTCGGTGCGGTTGTTTCTTGGTTTAACCTTGGTGGGCTCCAATGGGTGCTGTTTGTCTTTTTCCTCCCCTACTTCATCTCGGAAGTGTGGGAATCAAGTGCTCTCTTTCACGCGGCTGCCGTGCACAAGGGACGGGAAGGGTCGACCGTCTACCATGCCGCTATGTATCGAGTGACGGCCAAAAAGCGTCTGGCCGTCATGTTGTTTGGACAAGGGGTTATTATGGGACAAGCCGCCACGGATTTGGTGTCCCCCTCTTCTCAAGACATTGAGAGTTTTATCTGTGCCGCCATCGTATATTCCCTGCTGTGGGTCGGATGGGCCATGACCTGTGAAATATCCCATGCCCTGCCACCCCAAGACAAGCTCGCCAATTTGACCGGTCTCAAGAAAGACTTCAAAAGGCGGTACCGACACAAGGTGCAACGATCCTGTTCGGACAGTTCCACGGCACGGCGTAGAGACGGCAGTAACAGCCTGAGGTCTACTCAGAAACGACAGTCCTCCCTTCGAAGAACCAAAAGCTTGACTCTTCTTGACGATATCGCCTAACAAAGCTACCATACAAGCACATACCCAAGCGTGTGACGCCACAATCAGCAAAACAGCTTCTCGCCTCTCATCTTCCACTCCTGGCTGGTCTTGCTTCAGATACCCTCCCATTCCATCTCTCCGAAAGCTGTGCCCGGGAACAAGTAAGTGCAGTCAAGCACTTCTGCAGTAACACCACATAATGGCACTTTGGGGATGCACACAACCTGTCATAGAGTATCATATAGGATCAATTGTGAACTAAACTTCCTTTCTGAAAGTCATCAATCTATTCTAAAGCAAACACATTCAGCTCCAATGGCGGTTATTGATTTATCAATGCCCTTTAGAAGGGCCCACCATGGTTGGTGAACACGCAGGACAAACAAGCCCAGAATCCCACCAGGAACACCCATAAGTGTTGCACAGCAGCCAGAAATAGCTACCCAGTGGTTAGCTGGTTCAGCGGGAAGCCTTTCTCCTGGAGTCGAGTCATTACGCAAGAGCTGTCGGTGTTTTCTACTCGTACGAAACAGCCGAAGCAAGCACCGCAGGTGAGGAATGACTTGCTGCCCATCCAAATGCGAACATATTATCCCTTTGTCCCACTGTAACCAGTACAGTCGTATCTCTTCGCCTAGCTTCAGGCGGAGGACTCAAGCTACTCTCCGCTTTTGCTTTATAGGTAAGGTAAAGTCTTGGTTGGCGTTGCTGCTAGCTAGTAGCTAGCTACTTCGTCAGAATCATTGAAAGTTGGTTCTTGGCCTTGGAGTGAAAATAAATGACATCCTGGAGATGCGAACCACAGCCGCACTAACGAATAGCTCTTTTCGAAGTTTTCTCCTGTCTCTTGAGTTCTTCCCCTAACAAGGCCGACGACTCGGTCTAACCTTTTCGCGTGGTGTTCTTCGTTGCAATGCCCGCCCTAGCGGTAACTTTTAAATCCTTCAAGTCAACAACCCAGCTAGACAAGCTTCTGGGCAGCTTCGGGAAAAGAGGGAACAAGTGACAAAAGACGGCTCCCCCGGTTTGCCCCGTCGCTGCCTTGGCACACACCAAAACGAGAACAAGATGAACGGGGGTTTAAACGAGAACAAGATTGAAAGTTCAAATCTTATAGAGCCATTGTGGCTGGCTATTAGGTACTGTAGCTATGCATAAGAAGAAGTCATGCAGAGCGAAACAAGAACCCTTCCCGACGTTTTGACCAGTATGTATTGTGGCGTGACATCATGTGCCATCCTGCAGCACCATCCATCCCTCGACCAAAGAGGATCGGTCCACCTCGTTGCCAACTGCATCTGGCTGGCCCTCCAGCACTGTTGTGGTCAGGATGCGTTTCAAGATCCAAATCGCTCCGAGGGCAACTCGGCACTTCATGGCGGGTGGCCGCCCTCAAGTGAAGGAAACCCCGCCCGTGGTCCAAGAGTCCGAAAGATAGAACGAGAACGAGTAACTCTCAGGCAGAGAACAGCAGCTTGAATTTCTCTCCCCTCCAAAGCAAGTCTCCTGGGCCTGCGAGGTGGTGCGAGGACAACCCAGGAATAGCTCAGCACAGCCTTGGAGCCCCTCTTCCAAGGAGTCGAGTCAACACAGAGACCACGCCCAGCACAAAACCAGAGCTGCATCATGATATATTCAGCGCCTCACCCCTTTATCGAGCCTTCTAGCAAGCTGGGAGCCCCGAGACTTGCATTGCGATTCGTTGTTGGTTGTCAAGCTTGCTGCCTGAAAGTGACGCCGTAATTGACTGTCACTCCCACGTCTGCGTGTAATTTTCTGTAGGCAGCCTGGAACGTCTCCCCTCTGTTGGTAGGTTCCATTTCCCAACTAGCTAGCTCATAAAGGTTTCACCAAGCGCTGAAGGAGAGAGCCCATCCACTCCCCAACTCCCTCGACAATGGCTGCTTCCAACGGCAGCAGCAGCAGCAGCAAACAGAAGAACAATCCAAATTGGCGAGATGCAGCCGCAGGAGCCGGTGCCGGGGCCTTTTCCAAGACCCTCACAGCTCCCATTGAACGCATTAAACTCTTGATCCAGCTCCAACACTCCGTCGAAGGGACTACTCGTGTTCCCCAAGGTGCCTGGCAAGTCGCCCGCACCATTTACATAAATGAAGGACTTTTGAGTTTTTGGAGAGGCAACTTGCCCTCCGTCATGCGAGTCTCGGGCACGGCCGCCATCAACTTCACCATGATGAATTACTACAAGGCAGCGGCACAATTAGCGATCGGTTGCAGATTTTGCTACACGTTCGTATGGCTGTTTACAACTATATGAAGAGTGAGCTGGAGAAGAAGGACCTAATTTTCACACCGCATCACTGGCTTCTGGTCCAGCTTTTTCCAGAAGAAATATTCGGATCGGATATCTTTTTTGACCTAACGTCAGAAGCGTGCGTCCTACAGGAGGACGAGAACTACAAGCTCCGTCGCAGTGTCACCGCCTTGTGGAGTTCCATTTTTGTGGACGAGACGCAACAGTTGCTAAATAAAGGCGGACAGTATTTTCGAAACGAAGCTGGCACTGAAAGACGATCGGAGTTTTCGGCGCTGCTGGAAGCATTCAATAAGGTCCGCCTGTCACACCAGATCAAGGGATATCCAGTCTTTTCTGGTACGGGCTTATCTGTCCATGTTTTGGACAAAGAGGCCAATTCGGCAACAGCTATAAACAAGTTGAAGCCATATGAAAAATCATTCATTGGCTTCCAGCAGCTGACCTGCCACGATGTCATCCAGTACCTGGAAATCTTCCTGGATCTCAGCAGCGTCGATGATGATGTCGTCACTCATGTTGGCAAATGGTTGCGCGGCCGCCCACGCTTTACTGCAACCTTTTTCGAATTATTTATTGTGCGAGATTTCAAAGCAGAGTATACGAAAGGAACCATGGGAGACTTCACTGGGAACACTGCGACAATACCATTGTGCATTGATTAATCTAAGGATCTAAGAGATGCAAAGTTTGTATTTCCAAATAAGTGAGCAGCTATTGATTATTTTCTAGAATAAGCCTGCTAATTGTAAAGCTGTAAAGCTGAATTGTAAGCTGTATCCCGTCGCACTCCCTTACAGCTGAAATGAAGCTGTAGCAAGAAACGATAGGAGAGAGTCCCCAGCAAAGTGCTGAGGTAAATTTACCATCCCATGAGGAGCTTCCGAATGACAGCAAACTGTGGAGCCGGAAGACCCTTAGTGAAAATGTCGGCCCGTTGTTCCAGAGTCGGAATGTACTTGGCCACGATGCCCTTCGACTCCCCGATATTGGACCTGAAGAAGTGGTACTTCAATGCCAAATACTTGTTGCGCGCTGACATCTTGGGAACATTCACAAGAGACAAGCAACCTTGGTTGTCTTCGAACACTGTAGAGCGCACGAGACTGTCAGTAATTACGGGCATATTCAGTTTGTTACCAATTTCTTTGAGCAAAGCTCGCATAGGAAGCAGCTCCCTCATTGACATGCTGAAGGCCACATACTCAGCAGCAGTCGAGCTCAAAGTTATGTCGGTCTGTAGCTTGCTGGACCAAATAATGGGCATCCAAACAAAGTCAAAACAAACCCAGTGCGAGACTTGACGATACAGGATCCTGATCATCCTCATATCCATACAACCCTGCGAAGTCAGCATCTACCCAACAATCAAGTCCTTGATCAAGCTTAGGGCTAAAACAAATGCCCTTGTCACTGGTGCCGATCAGGTATCGAATAATACGTTTAATGGCTTGAGCATGGGAATGCCTGGGATTGTGGCTGAATCGTGCCACCTGATGTACACTAAAGGTGATGTCTGGGCGAGTGTTGGAAGCAATGTAAAGCAGCATCACAACTGCAGCTGGGTAGCTCCACTCTTCTTCAAATGGGGCACCCAGTTTGTCAGCACCGAGCGGATCGGTGGCAGCAGGAGAAAGCTTAGAGCTAGCTTCAGACATGCCAGTGTATTCAATAACCTTGTTGATGAGCCCCTTTTGAGTCAATTCTACATTGTCTCCCTGTCTTTCAAAATTGATGCCAAGGAATCCAAAGATGTCTCCCTTTTCTTCCATGGTGAGTCATATCCAAGTTTCTGGAGCTGTCCAACATAGGACTCAATGAGAGCATTGTCTGGACTGAGCCAGATTTGGTCATCACAGTAGTTAAGTACCATGAGCTGATGTTCCTTATGAATGAACAAACATGGGTCTGCTGCTGAAGTTTCGAAACCAAGTTGGACCATCCCAACAGCATAAGATGCTCATGAAAATATTTGGAAGTTGAATGGTCTGCCCATACGATGACTTCGCTCAGTTTTCCAAACAACACACGCTCCTGTCCCTCATAATCTTTGGGTCGATTGTACGAGGCAATTCCCATGTCAAGTAGCTGGTCGACAGGTAGGACTTTGACAGAAAGCAAAGTAAAATCAACTTGTCTTCGATTCTCCCATCCATGTGCAGCTGCAAGAAGAAGAACCGGCTCTAACAGTGCCCAACCAACAAGTGGAGAATACGCGACACCTTCATAGGACTGAAGGTCTCCTCTGCAGCACCATCTAGATTTAAACTTATTTAATTGCCCATCTGGTAACCTCTTAATTCGTTGTACCCATGTTCCAGGAACTGCCTTGAGGTGTGAAGGCATAGAAGAACGTTGTACGATGTGCCAAGTCCCTTTGCCTTCAAGGCTGGCAATTTCTTTGTCCATTGCTGCCCAGAAGTGGTCTGCATGTGGTCCCATCAGAGATTCCTTCAGAGATGGGAGATCAGGGTCTCTGGTAGTTTTGGCCTTGAGCGCAAGTGGGCTCTGAAGGATGCCAGGATGAAATGATTCCTGGGTGTCGGTCAAAGGTGAATAACCATTCACCTGAGATTGCATCATGTGTCCAGAAATTGGAGTGACTCCAAAGGTCAAGCTAAAGCACAACTCAACAGGATGAAGGACGCGCATATGTCTTCAGCTTTGGGTCCATGTTCAGAGTCTCGGGCTTCTTGCTGTGGGCTGTTCTACTGGGATTACGACGAGGGGCAGAGATTGGCTCGATGTGGACATCAGTGGTGGGAGTGATGATGGTGGGAGGCTCTCTGTCCCAAGAAGAGGGTAAATTTTGAGTCTGAAGTGGTGGCAGACGATCTGGAATCTCCCTGTGTGAAACCTGGGGCTGTGCTGGAGATGGAGCTTGAAAATGAAGATCATCCCTTTTGTCTTTGCTCTTGTCATCCTGCCACAACTTTCTCCCTTGTCGAAGCTTCTGAAGATGAGATTCGCGTGCTGGTTGATTGCCTTTTCCTCTGGAGTCAGGCCACTCATCTGCTAAGGGAGGTGGATTGTCCTCATCAAAGTGGGTTTCAAAGCGCTGAAAGATGCACATATTAGTCCACTCTGGAGGTGTCTGTTCTTCGGATGAGTACACAGTCTCAAACCAGTCGTCATAGACAACATGGTACTGGGGTGAGAGGTATCCGGTTGTAAGATTGCGAATCATACCAACACTTTCGGCATGGACAGGTGAGGTCCCAACATATTGACCTCTCCTGGACCTGGGCTGCCACTTTGGAATCTTTCCTCCTTCACTGGTAAGTCGAGGTTCCAAAAACATATGCAGGGCATCCCATGGATGGGCATTTCTAATGACTTGACCATCACTGACAGTTCTGGAAAATATCTCAATGGGAGCAATGCCAGTAACTGAATTCGGGTTGTGGTTGTAAAGGTGAGCTGAATGGGAGACTGCCAAGGGCCAAAGAGATTCATCATCAACTTCCGCCCATAGGAGGTGCAGCATGGATCATCAATGTTCTATCTCGGTCGTCTTTT